CTCTATTGGAGGTCATGGGGGTCATCAAGGGACACGTCAGGTCACAGAGGTCAACTTGGGGTCATCACAGAGCTCTATTGGAGGTCACGGAGGTCATCTGGGACACGTCAGGTTACAGAGGTCAACTTGGGGTCATCACAAAGCTCAATTGGAGGTCATCTGGGACACGTCAGGTCACAGAGGTCAACTTGGGGTCATCACAGAGATCAATTCGAGGTCATGGGGGTCATCTGGGACACATCGTTTTTAGAATTTGGAGAATCTTTTGGGGGATGCCCCTCGCAACGTCCAAGACCGCCTTTCTGGATTCGCCAGTAGTTGCTGGAATGGTGTTAGGCTACTTCATATCCATGAATACCCCAATAAATGTGAATATAACATATTATGCACCATGTTCAACACTCTCGCTGGCGCGGATTGAGGCCTCATAGACGAACCGTTGGTTCTTGCTTTATAACTCGCGTTAGCGCCAACGGATTGCAACGAAATTTTCAGGATCTCAAGTTTCAACAATTTTCCACGTACCATGCAAATTTCGTGACCATGACCCCAATGACCTGTGACCTGTGACCTCTCCCTCAAGGCCATATCAACTTGCGACACAACTTACGACTGCTATTTCAAATTCGTAAGTTGTGTCGTAAATCAGGCACTTTGCGATAGACTTTACTTCTTAAGTAACGCTACTCATCAATTGATCCCTCCAAAAACGACTTACTACACAACTTGCGACACGTCGCAGCTGCGACGAGGCTTACGACGCTCTGGATCCCCCCAGCCTTAGTGTTGTTGTATGTGTAAAACACTCGCTATCTGAGACATTGTTATCCTGAAAGTTGTCGGGGTCCCATGCACGTCGCATTAAATAGCTTCAAGCAGTTGCCGGGCCTGCCGGATGTAGGAACCTGCTTTAAGTTGCCCGTGATTTTTCTGTCGTTGCCGAATCAATTAAGTTCGGCAGTTCAGTGTATAAATTAAAAGATCTTATCGGTTGTAAGTTGTCCGAGCAGTCAGTATACCGTAGCCAGTCTGTAGATACAGACTGATCCCATGTCCTCGGTTTTTGTCCGGTTGTGGGCCTGTGGCTGGCGCCGGCTCAAATCACACGCCCCGCAGAAGCCTCCCACAGCCGTGTAAATCCTAATCAGCACCACGCCACAGCACACACCAGCGCCAAATAAAGCCAGACACCGCCGTCGCCCCACGTGCCACCCGCCGCAGCCGGTCACGTGACCGCCGCCCGGCGACCGCAGGGTCGCTGCTATCGCCCTGCACCCGGTGCTGTCGGCGGGTCACGTGACCGGGGTGGCATCACGTGACGCGGTGACTGTTTTCCTTGTGTCTGGACGGGCCGGTTCCATGTCGGGTACTGACTGCATTAATGGGTATTGAGGCAACTGACTGGAACATACAGTTGTTTAGCATTATCTAGAGTATTTAGGCACCGGAGCGGGAGCTGGATCGGATGTCTGCCTCTTCACCTTATAGAGCGTAACGTCTGTATCATACCCTGGGACCATCTCTAGCAAGGACTTCTGGGTTTCGCGCTATTGACTGCGCAATGGTAATGTTTGGTGGCAGCTTCGTCATACGGACAGGGTCGAAAACAATAGCCAAATATCTCCAGTAAGGTGTCGAGGTCGGGTGCCCAGGACTCAGGACTTAACAGAGAAGGGAGAGAGAGAGAGAGAGAGAGAGAGAGAGAGAGAGAGAGAGAGAGAGAGAGAGAGAGAGAGAGAGAGAGAGAGAGAGAGAGAGAGAGAGAAAGAGAGAAAGAGAGAGAGAGAGAGAGAGCTCACCAAGTCTTCACTATATATAGGCCGAAGACTTTAAAAGTAGAATGACAGCTGTGTACTTTGATAACTATCAGCATGGTGGCATTTTTTTCCAAGGCAAGTCGGCATTAAAATAGCTGATGTCACCAGAGAAACGTTCTTGATACACCAAAGAAGCGGTGCTTATAAATTTGAAGAACTCCAGAAAAGGAGGCATTGAATAGATTGTCATATGCCTATAGGTGCTGTTTTTAGTAGTCTGACAAAAGTGTCCTCCGACGTCTTTTGGTGTGACCTTGTCCTTGCAGCCGTCTTTTGTTGTAACCTTACGTCAAATACACAAGAATGCACATTTGCTATGATCGTCATAATTGATTCAACAACTTAAGACCTTTTTATCTTATGCCTTGCGGAGGACCACGGTAAAACATTTCCGCGGTTACTCACAGGACCACAAATTACCTCGGATCCAAAAGCTCCATCAGAGGCGACCAATCAGCTTTGGCTGGGACAAGATGACCGAGTAGATATAGTTATGATAATCCGTGTTCAGTGGGCCATAAGGACCCGCCTCCGTGTAGCTCATTAGCGACCATTCAAAATGTCCCCGCTGGAAGTCTGACGCAACACCGCGCAGGTCTGTCTGGACGGGGGCTCCGAAGGGCAGTCCGTCATATCCTGCCCAGCGCCAACGCAAGGCTATAAGGAGCCCTGTCCAGCCGAATATAAAACTGACTGACCACCGGCGTGATGTGAACTGGGGTCTGCTAATGAGGGAATGCCTGCTGGGAGGGCACTGGAATGCATTTGTGTCCGCGGAGATATCAGATAATCGACTTAGTGAAGGCAAATGTCGAGACTTGGGAATAGGCAAATATGTGGAGTCGTGGACACTGGACAAACAGCTTTTTAATCACGTATTTCGACAATAACCAAAATGACAATAATTCCCAATGGTTATCACTGGATCAATAATTTATCTGCATGCTATATACATACTAGCACATATGACACACACCGTCTGCCGATATTTTCTAGCAGTCCTGTAAGCCTCATCGTGGTCGTATACAAGTCTATATAAACACTCGGAAGGACAAAACGCTGATTTTTTCACTCCCCAATCCTTGAATAAGACAGGTATATCATTGGTAAAATCATAGCTAAATTTATCGTCAGTAACCCCAGAAAAATAGGGTTGTGACGTAGTCTCAGTTTTATCTGACCTTCTGAGACGTAAACAAATGATTTTGTACGGCTCCGACTGGAGGAAAACACTATCACTCGCCGGGAGCAGCGAGTTATCACCAAACAGAGCGTCTTCTCCAAGGTTACCGGCCTCGCCAGTCGACCTCGCCGCAGCTGAGAATGACATCACTCCCAGTTTTTTATCGGGCGTCTCCAGATTTGGTGTTTAGTTGAGCCATCTGCACCAGTGAACGTTTATTTTCTGCTGAATATACGAGGCTGCCTGAAAGCAAATCTCTGTTTATCGTTAGTGTCCCTCCTAGATGTTTTTTGCTGGTGGGCGTTTTTTGTGTGTTCGATGTATGTGCCCGATCAGACGGTCGATAGGCTGCTCTAACACTCGGGTCGATCGTACTCCGTCAAAGTGATATAAGGTCGCTAATTGATATAATCACAGCTATCAATAATCCCCTAACAAGAACTCCCAGAGTGTGATTGATTTATGGATTTGAAAGTTGGATTACATGACCATAGGTAGATAGAGAACCATTTGTCATTGCTCGCTGTCCAAATGCCTACCTTTAAACATTTTTGTATTTTAATAATCCCGTGTACTTCCGTGTTTGTGATAGGCTGAGAAAGTTCATACACACCAGTCTGATTACCTTTAATGGCAAGATACATCTTCAGGTAACATATGATAATTGTGCGGCCTTGCTCATCACTGCGGACTGGCACGACAGGCGAACCAATAACGAATCCCATGTGTTCAATTGCCGTCGGACGGTGGGCATTTAGAGCCGTTTCGGTGACGTACGGCCTCTCTGTCGGCTGAACTCTGCTCCTGCCGCCGTGGGAAGCCATCTCTCTCGGCGGGGTGCCGGTCCCGGGGCCGCCGGGTACCGTATAAGGACGTGCTCTGTATGACAGAGCTGTCAGCCGCGCCGTGTGGGGCTACCACACGCCCCGGTGCGGTATGGAACGGCCCCTGAGCGGTGCCGGGCCAGTGACAGCGCACCGGCGCGGCCCCGCGGGCACAGCGCGGCACAGAGCAGCCGACCTCCGCACCAGAGTGTGGAAAGATAACAACAACAATGACGTGAGGAGATCTGGCCACCGATGGCGGTCAGGGTCTCACCGATACCAGTCAGATGCCGTATTGTGCTAAGTTCGTCGATAGAATACGACATCTGGGAGTTCCGAAATCCACGTTTACTTTTGGAATGAAAAGCATCGTTCGATGAAAAATTGAAATAACACGCCACAAAAATGCAGTCGTGGTATCGTCGATTTATTATTGAGAAAACCTATCGAAGTAATTTTGCTTACCATGCAAAAATAGACGTTACAGCATCCTTTGTTTGGCCCCATGTACTTATCTCGGTCCTACATTTATTGAAAACGCGGTGTCGGTCCTTGTGTCCGCGCTGGCCACTGAGTTAGATCCGAAAAAACACCTTATTTGTGCATACGTTACATGGTATTTACGCAAAATAATAGGTTCACTTTATATGTACATCATGTAACGGATTGTGTTATTTGTATATGTTATGAGGTAAATGGGTTGTATCATTATTAACGGCTTGCACATGATCCATTTGATGTGGCGGCATGTAACGGAAAGTCCCACTCTAAGCGACTGTATATCGTGTTGTTGAGTGTAAATGTTCCCAGGCCAGCTTATGTTCCGTGTTTGTGTATGCAATTAGGCTAGCTACCGTGTTGCTATATCTCCTGTTTGCATCACTGTCATGTTTTTGTGTTCTAACTACTTTACCTCACTGCCCAACGGTTGTCATCTGTTTACATTACACTTTGTACCCAGTGAACAGCCCCGCAGCGCATCCAGTTCACTATCGTACCTACTAATGTTTATCCGGTTCCGCCTCCTAGTAAAACACTTATGTGTTCTTATGAACTGAAACAATTTCCGTGCTAATGTGTTCCGAGACACCCTGCTGTGTCCTCCGTTTACACTTAAAAAATGCCAGCGTGTCACTGTCTCCAACTTACACCAACGTGGTGTCTTCCTGTCCCCAGGTCGGTGGGCGTGCTGGCCTACGTGCTGCTGACGGGCTTCACGCCGTTCGGAGGAGACACCGACGCCGAGACGTTCCGCAACATCGCCAGAGCCGAGCTCGAGTTCCCCGACGAGCTGTTCGAGGACGTGTCGGCTGCCGCCAAGGACTTCATCCGCAGATGCCTCCTTAAGGACCCCAGGTAGGTAGACATTGCAGCTACGCCCACGCAACAATAACGGTTTGCAGTCCAACCTACTTACTAGATATCACTGCGTGCTAATCTGCACCAAATTTGGTGTGGTGGTCCGAGTCTGACTCAGGGGGCGTTAGCTGCGTGTAACTCGTTGTATCTTCGTATTTATAGGACCATGCCTGACCACACTGCGGCCGTGAACACTATACCGTAGATGGCAGCACAGTACACGCGGGCGGTCCCGGGTTTGGCTCAGTCAGATGGCTTCTGTCCCGAGCTTGCTCGAATGATGTTTTAATGTACCATGACAATGAGCACGACCTGCCTACCCACTAAGTAACTTTACATTCGTTAAATGCTGGGATAAAATCAAATTTAAGTCGCTATTTTCAAGTCGATCTTGATAGTTATTAAATTAGTTCGACGAAAATTAACGGAACGTTCAACAATGTAACTTAAATGTGGCGTGCCTAAATTAATTGCCGTGCCCGACGTACCTAAATTGCGACAATGACTGTTTTATATTATTTGCACTTTATTTCAATAATTGACTTCATTCATGATAACCTTTTCCACTATTTGCTCAAGCACCTTTCCATCAAAACGCCTAGCATTGTGATTGCGTACAAAATTGTCCCTGAATGTACGAATCGACATGTAGGTACACGGCACACTAATGTGAAAATCTAGGAACCTACATTATATTTTCTTCGAGATAATGAGGTCAATTAGTCTTCGAGTCGGCTACCTTTTAAAAACAGCATTCACGGCCGATGCGCCTCCCAATCACCCAGCTCTCTGGTTGTACCGTATTCCTCACTCGTCCCGTGTGTCTGTGTTTCAGCGGCCGGCCGTCCCCGCACCAGCTGCTGGAGCACGACTGGCTGCGCCGTCCCAGCGTGCCCTCCGCTCCGCTGCTGGTCGTTAGCCCCAGCGAGACTCTGAGCACCTGCCCCGAGCCCGGCCGGCCGGCCAGCGACCTCAGCACGCTGAGGAGATCCATCTCCAAGAGCCGCGAGGCGCTCTCCGTCAGGGTCAGCAGGAGCCACCTCAAGAAGAACATCTCCAAGTCGCGGGAGCGTCTGTGTGACATGAAGCTCAGCAGCGTGCCGATGCGTCCCGACCAGTTCCCAGCGTGTCTGAGGTCAAGCGTGTCGGAGGTGCCCGACAACCGACCTCCGTGGAAGGGAGCCGGCGTTCAGAAGGTTTCTCCGGGGTCCGCCAAGGCCGAGCGGGTCAACACGTTCAAGCTCCGTGACGAGTACCAGAACCAGGTGGCGGCTGGTCTGGCGGCCGCCAATCAGTCCCAGGAGCGCAGTGGCACCACATCCCCATCGCCGTTTGTGCGTCAAGGCAGCCTAAGAGGCAGGAGGAAGACCTCGACACCGGACGGTAGCAGCACCGACCTCAGGGCGTCCCTGAGGCGGAGCCGCAACGCCGACAGCGCCGTGACCAGGAGAAGCAGCTGCCAGGAGGAGAGCAAGACACTGCCCGAGGCAGGGAAGAAGAAGGAGGGGCCGAGGCGTACGCAGAGTGTTTCTGACGCTATCATGCATGCCAGGAGAAATCGTAACTCTAGAAAGGATCTTCTGCTCCCGGTGAAGGAGCACCGGTCCGGTAGCGAGTCTGTAGATGTCCTAGCCGACGGTCAGGAAATGGTCAGGATACGTCCCGGCACATTTGTGATCGACATGGGAGAACCAGCGAAACCCCGCAATAAGACGTCAATTGTCAACGAAGAAGAAAAGAAAGTGCCATCGAGGAGAGAAGTCTTCCGGAAAAACGCATCGGTGGATGCCCCTGAAAACGTATCCAAGCATTCGTTTCGTAGCGCGCCGTCAGTAGAGATCGAGGAAACAGATGACAAGACGAGCGAGACCCAGCCCAGTCAGAGGCAGCCGAGTCCTGATGCCAGGAAGCTGAGCGCCCGCAGACCAGGCTCGCTACCGTCGTCACCTCGTCTGACGCCCCGCTCGGCTGTGGACAGACAGACCAGTCCGCTGAGACAGGGCAGTCCGCAGCGGCCGGTCAGTCCGCGCCGACCGAGGGACTCGGCTGAGACGACCTCCGAGAGGTCCTCCTTCCAGCGGTCCGGTCTGAGGAGCTCGCTCCGGCAGACGAGGACAGCATCACGGCCCAGCTCCGGCGAGGAAAGCCGCCGACAAACGACACCGGTCACCGAGGAGCCCTCACAAGGCCTCCGCAAGTCCTCCACCGAAGAGGACATGCAGAGGCTGTCCTCCCAGGACGAGCGCCGTCTCCAGAAGTCCTCCACGGACGAGGACGTGCGTCAGCTGGGCTCCTCCAGCGGAGGACGGAGATCGCGCAGGTCGCCGGTGGTTTCCCGTAACGTGTCTTCGCCGCTGCTGCTCTCCCGCTCGCCGACCAGCGACCTGGGCAGCAGCGAACTCTCTGGGGACGACTGGGAGCACGGCTCGCCGACGAGAGCAGCACGTGACCGGTCCGGCCGCCCCGAGACCAACAGCGTGGCGCGGGCCATCAGCCGCTTCCAGGCTCTGGAGCAGGGGGCGCGTCAGGGCACCGTATCACCGACCGCCGGTCGCTCGCCGGCCATCTCGCGCAAGTTCTCCTCACCCGTGCTGAGGTCGCCCGACCTGGGCCGCAAGACGTCGTCGCCGGCACTGCGCTCGCCGTGTGTGACGCGGAAGGCGTCGTCGCCTGCCCTGCGGTCTCCCTGCATCACCCGCAAAGCCTCGTCGCCAGTGCTGGGCGCCGCTAGTCAGAGGGAGCGCGGGTTCCCGAGTCGCGTCCCTGGGCTACGGGCTGCCTAGCTGTGGGCTGAGAGGAGTGGCGGGCGAGCAGTGAGCCCACCGTTATAGGCTGGGCTGCTGAATGCCGGTACCGTTTTAAAGTCGTATATTTTGTCGTTGTTTGTGTCTAATCAATGATGTGCTGGGTATCCGTGATATGTTGCTTGACCGTGTATTTTGTAGATATATGCCGCCGAGCGCTTCGAGCATATGTGCTATTTTTTAGTTTACCTCATGCCCTTCTATGCTGTTCTATAGCATTATCTATATCGTCGTGTAGTTTGTATAGCTCTGTAATGAAGTATGGAAATATATTCTGATATAAGCGAGTTTACTTAGAGAAGAAGACTAGTACCTAAGTGACGGAAATAAGAGTTATCTTGCAGAACGAGGTAGTTGACAGAACGTTAAAGATAAAGCACACTTGAAGAGGACGCTCTTAACCGATACTGATGATACTGAATGTCATGTATCCACACCATATTTCGATTCTAAGCGGACCGGTGATGCATTTTGGTTTAGTGTCGCCGACCTGTTGATACCGGTGATAGGAGGCCTCTGCTTGTTCACCCTTATTTGATGGCATTGCGTGCGTCCTCGTACGTATAACTGGTATTACGTGACGCTAAAATTCCGGATGCTGGATTGGGCCTGTTACAGCAGTGGCGTGCACGAAACGCTTGCTTTAGGTGAGTATCGGGCTTCATCAATCGGACGACGGCATCGGCAATTATCACCTAAAAAGTACCGACGGCTGGGCCCGGTGCCGAGCCCTCGGCTCTACGAGTATACTGGCGGATCAGATCCGTACACGGTGAACGATGACTGAAAATGGTGGTGCTTCTGAGGTCGAGATGCTGTCGCTCATGACGCATCAGGCTAAGACTCTACGCCCCTACCCTGATCATCTTGTATCAGTCGGGAAAAACAAACAGGACCGGTCACCGGTGAGCACCGGTGTATGTACCATATTGGCTCCGTCTATATGTTTGTGACATATCGAGCATGATGGGTTTGTAATTCTACGTGAACGTGAAAAAATATGTCAACTTTTATTGACCATCATACAAGCACAATCAAGTCATTGGGGTTAAAAAGAACATCGTCAATCCACGATTCTGTCGCACGCAAGCGGGTCCCTATACTGTAAAATTATTACGTTTGCTCAACAGTAGAGCATTGCACGTGATCGTATTTACAGCATAGTAATTCTGCAACCAAATACAGATAGCGACAGTGAACAATAAGCAAAACACGGTATTTTCAGCATATAGCGCTGACGTTCGCATGCGCCAGTGCGTGGCTGTCATCGACTGAATTCGGCGTTTAGCAGTGCCCTCGAATACACTAATCAAACGGCTGCACCTTCACGCAACACCAGACATTCGACTCACAACACGTCACAGCTCACATGCGTTCAACATCACTTCACATGACCAGATAGGACGACTTCGAACCTCCACCGGGTTCCACAGATAGAGCGGACGCGAGTCTACGTCCTTTGGTTACACGCAGGTATATGATTCAAATCGCAGGCATATTTAATGACCATGAGGTCGGGTAGCCCGCTCCGACACACACTTCCCCCGCGGACTGAGTGACCTCATAGCAGGGGACGGACACTTTCTGGTCACACATGGTGACTGCACTACTGGAGAGGATGTCTTCCGAGGGGATCTCGGCGACTTCAGCGGCGGGTCTCGCTGTTTAGACTCGTCGGCCAGCGCCTGGAACCGTTTGACGGCGCGCGACACGGTGCTGCTGACCACAGAGCCGGCGGGACGCTCGTCGTGGCTGAGGGCGGCTGTCGTCCGGGCGGCGGAGGGCGCCGGGGTCGGCTGGGCGGACCGGCCGCGGGTCCGGCGCGACAGCCGACACGTGGTGACAGGCCGCAGCTCGGTGGCTCGCGCCGCCGGCCCGCTGCCCGGCTCACCGCGCTCCTCCCAGCTGGTCACGTTGTACAGCTCGCCGGCGGCACTGACCGGGTCGCTGTGATCGCCACCCGGGTCACTGGTGAGTGAGGTGGAACGAAGGAACGGCACCGGTCTCCTGCGGGGCGCCGGCGCCGGCCGTCGCTCGTAGCCGAGCCGCCTCACGTCCTCCTCGGTGGAGGACTTGCGTAGACTGCGGTTCGTCCAGTCGGAGGAGGAGCGCAGTCGGCGGCGACCGTCCTCGTCCGGCGGCGAACGACTCAGACGACGAACGTCCGACTCCGTCGAGGACTTGCGCAGCTCGCGGTGGGTATCGTTCGACCGCCGACCGGTATGTTCCATGAAGGAGAGTCGTCGCATGTCCTCTTCTGTTGAAGACTTCTGCAACTGTCTGGGTGTGTCGTTTGACTGACGACCTGAATGATCGCGAGAGATCAAGCGTCGCATGTCCTCTTCCGTAGATGACTTGCGGAGACCTCGCACGGGCTCTTCCGTGGATGATGTCTGCCGGCGGCTTTCCTCACCAGAGCCTGACCGTGATGGCTTTGTCTGTCGCAGCGAGCTCCTCAGACTGGAGCGCTGCAGAGTTGATCGCTCAAAGACTGGCTCAGGGACCTCCCGGGGCTTGCGCGGGCCCAGCGAGCGAGAGGACTGCACGGAGGGCCTGCCGCGTGCCGTGGGCAGTGCAAGCGTTTGCGTCTGCTCCCAGACCACGTCCTCGTCGAGGATTGCTGCCAGCCGAACGGCTTCCGCAGCCCGAGTTCGATGGCAGGTGGTGGGCTGCTGCGTGGCGCTGGGTTGGTGCTTCGGGTCCGATTTCTCGAGCGACGCGTGACGACGCAGCGACGGAGTCGCGGACGGCGAGGAGTGCGGCATGTCCACCGTGTTCCTCCTCTCCAGCTTCGATTGTTGGAGCGAACAGGAGGGCGTCTGACGTCGCCGAGGGCTCACCTGCCTGCGAGGACTGGATGGGCAGACTCCACTACTAGCAGTGGACGATATGGACCCTCCAGTATGATGCATCGCCGATCTATGGTCTTGCTTGGCTGAAAGTTGCAAGCCATCTTGGTCATCTGCAGATTTGTGAGGCTCCAGATGATTTGTTTGCTTTGACTTCTTTGAGGAGTCGATGAGCATCGTCCCAAGTTTTTCCCTCAGATCGTCAACATTTATATCTTGGGGTCTGTCAACGTTGCTTGTAGACGCTTCGTTTGGAATCTTGCAGGCTGGTTCTGTAGTCAATTCATGATGATTTTGCTTTCTTGGAAAGACAGGTGACTTAATTAGCTCTACTTTGCCCTTTTGATCATGAAAAGTGGACGTAGCACTGAGGAGATTTTCTTTTTCTTCGTCGTTATGCCCGATATGTTTGCTTGTGCTTGACATAAGTTTCGATTTGTGATCAACGTCCTTTCGATAATCCTTATAAAGCCTTGTGAAGACATCGTCGTCATCGCTAAACGTCTCAACGTCTTCTTTTCCATGCTTATCCTCGGCTACTGACACTAAAGGTGACTTCGTCATGGTGCTTCCTGTCTCCGAATGGAGGGGAGCTTCAGAGGCGCTGTGGTTGCGCTTCGTCCCATCCTTCTTTTTCCCGGTGTCGGACGACGTCTTACCCTCCTCCTGGCTACTGTTCCTCCTGTTCATGGCGCTGTCGGTGTTGCGAGTCCTCCTCAGGGACGCCCTGAGGTCGGTGCTGCTGCCGTCCGGTGTCGAGGTCTTCTTCCTGCCTCTCAGGCTTCCGTGACGCACAAACGGAGATGGGGACGTGGTGCCGCTGCCCTCATGAGGATGACTGGAGGCCGCCAGACCGGCCATCACCTGATTCTGGTACTCGTCACGGAGTTTGAACGTGTTGATGGCTGTCGTTGAGGCAGAGGGAATCGGGCCGCCACAGCCAGTGCCCTTCCAGGGAGGACGGTTACTGGGCAGGTCCGACGTACTCGCCCGCAGGCAGAGCGGAAACTGGTCGGGTCGCATCGGTAGGTTGACAAACTTCATATCACACAGCCGCTCCCTCGACTTGGAGATGTTCTTCTTGAAGTTGCTTCTGCTGACTCTCACGGAGAGCGCCTCTCGGCTCTTGGAGATGTAGCGCCGCAGCGGGGCGCGCGGCTCTCCGACACTGATGAGGTCTTCGGTGCTCTGCAGAGACGACTGACTGATGCTGAGGGCAGGTCCGGTGGTAGACGCCGCGGACGGTCCTAGCCAGTGGTGGGCGAGCGCCTCGCCGGCCGTCAGACGTTCCCTGCAACAGGCAGAATGAGCGGTCAGATGTCGTGTGGCATGCAGAAAGCGGTCATATACGATACGGCACATTTGCTGGGGTCGTATGTCAAACAGTGACTGTAGTCACATGGCGAAGCTGAGAAGTATAGTGGCAGCAAATTCAAACCGATACAATATCTACCTTCTCAAACCGGAACAGCCAGTTCATACAGCCACATACTAAAACGTTTTCCGCGACCGACACCCAAATTAGTCTCACACTATGCCCTTTCATCTGTTGTTCCGACATTCAGTGAGGTCCCGTACACGAATCTACGACTGACAGTCACAAGTCGATTTCGATTGATAAGGAGAATGAGAGAGTATGAGAAACATTGGTACACCAGCCGGTTTCACCTTGCGATTTACCACTACATTACTTTGACAAGGAGCTCGAAAGTGATATTACATGTCAATAGACTGAAGCGATATGGCTCCTTATCGCCAGATTTGCAGCACGGTATAGGTATTGCAGGTCTTACGCATGTAAATGACGGTTACTTTTTCTAATTACGGTTACTTTTTCCTAATTAGCTAAGATATCGTCCATCGTGCATGCACGATTGAGCCGCGGTGGGGCGACATGTGACATTCAAACAAAATATATTGAGATTGGTTATAAGTGGTTGAGAAAAAGACAGTAGAATCCAAGCGAACAATTATAGTAAAGGTTTCTAATTAGAATGCACATTAACGATCGATTCATCCCCAGTACCGTAAAACTCATTAACATTATGTGCTACTTAGGAAATTTAAAAAATCCGTTTCGGAGGAGAATTCCTTGCTATAATTTCATACAGACTGTCATATACACAAGCTTGTTGCTTGCAATGCACGATTGAAAGGGCGTTGCACAAGCGTTATTTTGCGTTTTAGTGCTGTATACATTGATGCGAAAGGGCGCCTATTTGCAAGAAGACGCTGATAACGCGGGTGATGCGAGCCGGCAGAGCGAGTGGCCAATTCATCGCGCCAGCTGCAAACAGCCTTTGTGAGGAAGTGGGCACGTCCGAGCCGTACAACAACCAGCTCCGGTTACCAAAACACCAACGGCTAACAGATGGCCTTCGCTGGCGGCCGTCCGCGCCGAGCGGCCTATAAGGCTGCCGACAGCAGTGCCCGGCCGGCCGACAGCGGCGACACTGGTCAGATACGCACCGAGAAGCGTCATCGCCAGGTCCACGGAGGGCCCCGCTGAGTCAGCACCTTCTGAAACCTCACCTCGGCTCTTTGGCCAGACATCTGCGGATGAAGTCCTTGGCGGCAGCCGACACGTCCTCGAACAGCTCGTCGGGGAACTCGAGCTCGGCCCTGGCGATGTTGCGGAACGTCTCGGCGTCAGTGTCCCCTCCGAACGGCGTGAAGCCCGTCAGTAGCACGTAGGCCAGCACACCCACAGACCTGGGGACAGGAAGGCAATGATGTTATTGTAAACTGCATGGGATTGGAGACACAGCAACATAAGAGGGATATATGTTAACCTGGGGCACAAATACACGGCACTCAACAGCGATGAAAATATGTACATAGATTATCTATCTCCGTTCTTGGTCCCAGCCCCGCCTGTCACCTCGCCCCGATCTGACCGCCACCCTCGTGTCGGTTCCGGTGGCCTTGTCGCCGGTGAGGGGCGTCTCCCCGTCTTCAGCTCGACCTTTCGGCGCCGGTTTACAGTTCGGTGAGATGCGCGTGGGCCGACCGACTGGCACCTGGACCCACGCCCGATCCACAGTGGACCGACTAAAGACTCACGGTCCTTGCTATTTCAGGACGGATCCCGGCGAAATGTATGCGTTGGTTACCGTGGGCCACTGCAGCTGCTGCCTGCTGACCTGGTAACGATACCTGCGGTTGCTGCTAAACCCATTGCATTCAACGAGGATTGAATCTGGACAGCATTATTGTGACTGAAGCAGCAGATTTTCCAATCTATAAATTATTGTTGCACACTGCACAGATCATAAACATGGATTTTCGTCGGCCGGCACTATCAACCTCTCAGCGGAGACCACATTACGGCTTGGCAGTTCATCATTCATGTTCCGGGTAGCACCCTCCATTTATCACCGCCCTATAGTGGTTATTCAAATTAGCGTTTGGTCATGCCATTTATCAGGGCGCCCCGGCCGCCCTGATTTTGGCGGTCGTGTTGTGCCTTTTAGCTATGATTAGATCGGTAATTGAGCTGGTCCTGGCTGTCGGGACCTGCAGCGATGATATATGGTGGACCGACAGCGAGGGCCGGTAGCCCTGTCGACGGAAGACGTCTTCACAACACTGTGAAAACGCCAGTGAGGAAATTCGTGCGTTGACCTAACTTTGATGTTAAATCCTCGATTCATAAGCTTGCGTTGATATTAAAGCCAATTGATAAACATAAACATGTGTTTCATAAACAGGTGATTCATAAACATGTGTTGTATACTTGTTCTGAAACGAAGAATTTAATGATAAAAATTGTTCCAAACGAAAACACTTTTTAGTTCAGAAAGTATATTTATCGCATTCTTTTCGACGAATTCTGTTTACTTCTATTCAGTGAGCATCTTTCATTGCTCCCTTATCATTATGACTCAGCATCTAATTATACATTTAAAACCTATAGGTACTCACGACAGGCCTTTCTAACTACTTCACGCCTCAGCAATGGTACTCAAGCCGCGAAGTAAGCGTGCTGAGACGGGGCCGCGTCACCTGATCCGCGTGGGGCTATAAGCCAAGTCACACGGAGATGCGTGCGGCGGCGAGGAAGGGCTCTCAGCACGGCGCGGGGGTGGTCCGGCCACTGTCAGAGATGGACACAAACAGAGGGGCCGGCGGGGCCGCGGCGACCTTCATGGCCACTCCACACCGGTAAAAACGGCTCCGAGGCGGCGCTCTCACGTGTCAGGTAACCGCCGGCACGTTAGGAAACACCGGCTCGGTAAATGATAGACTAGTCGAGGCGGATGTGCGCGCCGGCACAAGCCGCTCATCCATCAACTATGGGTGTACGTGCCCGAAATGCATGAATGCTGTACTTAGTCGTCGCACTCCTCAAAGCAGCTTTTTAGTGTGGTTCTTTGGCAGATAAAACAATTGCAGGCATCCAGCGACCGTCATTGAGTTAAAAAAAATCTTAACTGGGAGCTTGATATCATATTTATATCACTTGAATGCCACTTAGGTATAGAAAAAATGAAAACGTGGAAGACGGCGGCTACTCACCACATATCCGCGGCCAGTGTGACAGGGTCGAAACGGAGAATTTCCGGCGCTGAAAGAGGAGTTTCAGTCAGTGCTAATGTAGCCAGCCCACCCAAATGGCGACTCTGATTCAAACCGCCTCTGCAGCAGCCTTGGAGAAACAAGTTAACGCATACATGATTCATGAGAAATCATTGTGCCGCGCATCAGGATAACATGCATGACATTCCGAATCCCCAGTTCAGGGCGTTTTAGTGGAGCCCGGGTATGTTATCAGTGGTGCGGTGTCATGAGTTGCATATCAAATGTCTGAGTCACTGTATTTCAAATACAAACACGGACAGATGCCCCGGTAAGGAAGGCGGATGTCGCGTAAAAGGATTGTGTAGAAGCACATCCATGTGAATGTACGTAAATGCATTCCCCTGGCGCGAACACCCAGGTACCGCATTGCCCCAGGCAGACCCTCGGGAGTAAGATGGGAGAGCAGCAGTCTGCTGGTGAGCTGAGTGCTGTGGGTCGGGTCGTTTCGGTCAGCTTTATACGCAGCGTTTGATAGGTTCGGTCCATAGTTTGGGGATCCAGTACAAACTATACATTTTGAACTTACAGACGTAGTCTGGTGTGCCGAGCATCTCCCTGATCTCTTGACCGGCCGATATGACCCGGGATATCTCCAGGTCACACAGCTTGATGTCGCAATCGGGAAACGCTCCCGTCATCACCAGGTTCTGAGGCTGAAAACAAGCATCAGTATAATATAATACGGAAATCATTCAAGTATGCACGTTGCGCCTAATTTGCTCGTCAATTAGACCCAGTCTTGAAAGGTACATCCATGTCTCTTCCTGAAAAAAACAACTGTTCTCCAACTATTCTACCTTTTGTAACTTTTACCTTTTTCTTTTGGCTATCATTCATTCAATCAAAATTTCATATTTTATGTGTGCATAGTTCTTCTTTTCACAGGCTACAGCCGACTGCGTCAATCATATTCATTCACTCATCCATTCATTCATTCATTCATTCATTCATTCATTCATTCATTCATTCATTCGTACGTTCGTTTGTTCGTTTGTTCATTTACTCGTTCGTTCGTTCGTTTCTTCCTTCATTCATACAAATATTCGTTCAGCTAATCGTATTCAATCATGTAGTTAGTCATCTTAAAATCTTTATATTTATTTTTTGCTATCTGTCTCTTCATTTAGGAGTTAGAAGTAAGAATTGTTCTGGTCTTTTTTGCGTTATGTGTGTATAATTCATGTATAAAATTAGCACTTTTCATTATACAGGGTGATCGAAAAAAAGTGTCACCCCTAATTTAAAAGCCATATAACTCGCGATTGGTTGGTCGTACGACTTTGCGCCAGGCAGCATTGGAAAGAGCATACAATTTCCTTTCGAATGGATGTAAATATGCATGGTTTATGCCGCAAACGAAGATGTAGCTTTTCAAAAAGTATGTTAAGGACGCAATTTGGCGTGTTCAAAAGTTTGGTTGTGCAAATTTGTACTTTTGACAGAGTTTTTGATCTGACAGCTCACGTGAGCATTTTTCTTTACTGTTCCATGGTTACCGCTGCATAAAATTGATAATCCGGTAGTGCAGGTTGTCTCAATGTTTCGCTAGTTACCGGCGAATTTGTGAATAATGAGGCCGCATGTTTGCAAGGAAGATCTGATACTGATCAAGCAGTTACGCAAGGAAAAGAAGGTTTACGCATTTTTTCGTATGGGGAGAACTGCAGAGGCTCGTGTACCGCGGCGTGAAGATCCGTGATCTAGACCACCTGAGAGAGCGGCTGCAGGTGTGTTGGGCTAAGATCTCCCAGCGTCAGGTGATAAAGGCAATCGAGGCCTTCCCAAAACGCCTGGAGGCGTGCATCGCCTGCGGTGACGGTCGGTTCGAGGACCGACTCGACTTCGAGTGAAGACGAGTCTAAGGTCAGCTGAGAAACAGTTTGCAGTGAACAACATACACTCCATATGTAATGTGTAAAGGTGTGTGTCATGCTGAGCTATGATACTCATTGTTCTCGTTCAGCGGTGTCCGATCCCGTTCGGTGAATTTCGTTTCACGTGAAAGCCGCACATTGACTGGTTTTTGAGCCCATGGGGACATGATTTGGAATCGAAAACAATCATGAATACATTCAATTGAAAAGAAATTGCCTGCTCTTTTCGATGCTGCCTGGCGCGAAGTCATCCGACCTACCAGTCGCGAGTTATGTAGATTTTAAGTTAGGGGTGACACTTTTTTCGATCACCCTGTAAATTGGTCACTTTTAATAACAACTGTTATAAACGCCTGACTAAATTTCTCCCGCACGGCGCACCTTGATGTCGAGGTGAGCGATGTTTCTGTCGTGGAGGAAGGCCAGGCCCTCCAGCAGGTTGGAGATGAAGCGCACCACGTCCGGCTCGTAGGGCACCTGGTCGTCGTCCAGCACTCCCTGCAGGTCGCCGCCGCCGCCTCTGCAGGAAGCCACAGTGAAGTGATGTTTTCTGGGACCACCATCATAATACCGTTAAAGCGTGTAGTGCGGTAGAGAAGACAAGCAAATAACAAATTATATGTTTTAATTATGGTTTTAATACGAGTGCTGCGCCTCATAGTTAGTGATATTTTGACAGCGGACTACATAATATTGCTGGCTATAATGGCCTATGGGAATATCATTTTGTCAATATGATTCGCAACGAAACGTAGCATTTGAATCCTTGATGAGCACTCTAGCAGGGACTAGAACGCACAAGCGTGAAGCGATTTTATGTTAGCCGATAGTAATGAGTACACATGCCCACTTTGGTGCTCACAAAACCACTACGCTGTCAATTAAGGACACCTGAAACGTTTCCCGCGGCCATTCCAGGCTACTACCTGCCTGTGTGGTAATGGCATCGATTCATTACATTTCCATTGCTAATGGGGCCATTCGTTTGAGACCGATGAAACACGATCCATATCAGGTGATTGAAACGGGCTATGAATGAGTAGCTGTCCACTCTCCTGGGATCGGTACTATTTCGGTAGACACTTGCTTTGTTTTCAACCACACTGAGACAGGAAAACGACTGCGTTATTTTGGGAAGGGTTGAATTAAGTCACGTGTTAAACGTGTTACTACGGACCCAGTCCATTATAATGCGATCGAAAATCTTCATGGCCATTGGTGGTTGCGACAAAGCATGGTGGAGGTTTTCCTGTTAACAGCGGTTCTAGAGAGCTTCCTCTGTCCACAGGGGGTTTCATATAGCAGACCTTCGTCTACCATTCATTGACTACAGCAGGTCCTTTCTTGCACGCAACCACAGAGCTGCCTAGCTCACAGGTCAGCTCGCGTGACGTCTTCCCCGGAGCCCGTATCGAGACGCTTTGTCTGAGCCGCCCGGCGAGCCGTGCAGACTGCCGTGCGGCCCTGCCCCCATATAGGAGTTCAGCCGGCCAGTGACGGGGCTCTGCAGATGACTTTGATAGATTGGTCCGTCCATGGTCTCCGGAACTCGACCAATAGCAGCTAGAGGAAATATGTGCCAATTTCGCTCAAAGCTCAATCGCCCCTGATGAAGAGCACACCTAATTTGGGTGTGCTCAGTGATATGGCACATGCATGAATGCTCGCTTATTATCCTTGGAGCTTTTTAATGCGCCGGCTTATAACACAGCGATGAAAGACAGCTTTGACTCTCAGTTCAAGAGTGTAGTAGGTAATCAAAGGTAACCTTTAAATCATCAGTCGACTAAGGCTGCGCTGGCGGGGTGACCACCGGTGGTCTCAATTGGTGCGACTCACAATTCCATGACGAGGATGAACTGGTGCGGCGTCTCGAAGACCTGGTGCAGCCGCACCACGCGGCCACAGCCGCGCGCCTGATACATGGCGGCCACCTCGTGCAGGATCTCGCGCCGCGAGTCGACGCCCAGTCGCGTCTTGCTGCAGAACTTGGCAGCGAAATGGTGGCCCGAGCTGAGCTCCAGACACTTGTACACGCTGGCCCACTGGCCGCTGCCGGAGAACGCAGACACGGAGGAGGTGAATAAAATGCACAGTCAGAATGATAGCCGCTCAGAATTTGGCAAATTTAGGCCGAATGAGACAGAATTAGACCTAGCTCAAATCTAGCATGATGCCTACGGCGTCATCGCGCTTAACCAGAATCTACTGAAGCCTGATCGGTAACAGTACGACGGTCCATTTTAGCCCTGGCCTCCATGGATAGGGATAAGAAGCTTAAAGACACGGCCATGCTTATTGATTTTCACAGCAAGACGTGGTGCGACCACTAAACGTACACTGTACCTATATGTGACAGTTAATTGTCTCCAGACAATCAACATTACGAGTACTATGTTCGTTACTATCGGGTGAAAAATACTTTAATGATAAATAGCAATCACCCATCTATCTATAAGCGGGCGGCATACGAGCTTATATGCTGCCCGCTACGAGCTCGTACGAGCTCGGTCCATAGTTCGTATACATATACATACGACACACACATCATTAACTGATTTTCATGTAGTGGAGAACAACCTGACCAAAAACAAGTTTCATAAAATGCCACCGGCTATAACATATCTATAAATCACTTCACTGGACACTAATATCAGCTGCCAGGCGACTCATTTGTGTACTCGTATGATAATCAGCCGTAGGAATGTGGATTTGGGATGAGATCATCCAGCTGCCGATGCCACACTTCAATGTCAGCATTGAGAACCTGTCCAAAGTGCCTGCAGTCCACTCTCAGGGGCATATCGCCGTTTGAGGAGGGACACCAGCAGCCATATCGGGCTGTGTGGGGACAACGGCGGCTGGTAACAAGCGCCGGGTGGTCAGTTGAATAATACAGCACCTGAACTCTGCACCAGTCGCCACCGAGGTGGGGACGGGAGCAGCTCAGTGGTAAAACCCATAGCGTCTGTGTACATAGAGCTCATGGTAGTGGGCCAGGACGGGCTCCGTGGCAACCCAACGCATCACAGCAAAGGTCACCGCAAGGGGAGGGTACACACAATGCCAACATTAAAATATTGGTCATTGAGTATTGGGTGCATGGAGTATCAGTACCTTTGAGAAATTTCCGTATATCAATATGAAGCCTTCCTCAATTTCATCTCTCGATACCAATTGCAGGTGCCGCATGATTTAACACGCAGCCGTCTGATACTGTATGCACGACAAACGGACTTTAAGTGGCTGTGATTGAGTGTAATTGATGCCTTATTATATGATATGTCAGTCACGCCGCCTACCTGTATAGCTGGCGATACGATGACTGATAGAGCCGGTGGACATCCGCCTCCATTTGTGAGCGGCTGACGCACACAGTCTCGGTGAGATAGGGACCGATTGCGTGTTTTATAGCCGACTACTTTTTTACTGACGTTCACAGGGATCAACATTGACAGTGATAAGCGTTTTTAAATTCAACACCGGATGCATGTGTTGCCGTAATCGTGATTTATTGCCCTGAATAGTATTCAAGGATGCACACATGCGGCCGTGTATGCCATCCATCGACGCACGTGGCTCACCACGAGGTGGTCAACAATACAAAACAAAGGACCACCGAATCGATTAAAAAAGCTGAAGTGCTGACAACCTTGGAGTTATTGCCTTCTCCATGCATGTAAATTTTCGATCGTTGGATGAACGACTTCTTGTAGCTAGTCACAGACTCATGTGTCTGAGCAGGCCAATCTCTCCCCATAAGCACTGACAACTGCGCCTGTGAATCCCCCTATGACCGGCATATCCATCCTGCCACTCCCTCTCTATACCTAGTCTGTCATCCCCGCCCCGTCAGTCCCTCCATGGTCCGTCATCTCTGCATGCTGACAGGTACTGGTGACTCCGCGCAGAGGGTCCGCGCTCCCTCTGCCGCGCTGCAGTCACCAGCGAGCCGACTCGGCGGCCGCTCCTTTGAATATCGAGCCTGTCATCGGTAGTGCCGACCGACCAGTCCCGTCCACGATCCGGCCTGTCGGCCACCTCTGCCGGGCCCAGCGAGCCGCAGCTCAATGGAACTGGTCGTCTGCCTGGGCTGGACCACTTGGAAGCCTCCCAAATCGGCCTGTCGTTCAATGGCGCCGACCGACATCCGCCCTGGACTGACCGAAACCCGCCCTGGACCGACCGAAACCCGCCCTGACCGACCAGCAGTTCGTGCTGCTCCGGTGCCTCTCGGATCTGTCGTCGGGCTCAGCCCGCTGATCGGGTCCGGACCACCCTGGTGGCCCTATCGGCAGGCGTTTACACGACACTTCCCGACATCAGTCACACGACACCTATACCCAGGCGGATCATGTTCCGATGGGAACGTGATTGTCCGTGCTGAGGGGAGGCCCAGTGATGATGGGGAGGCCACGTGCATGACCTGAGGTGCTCAAGCGGGAGAGGTGTCTTGTCCGACCCTCTGCACTTGACGATCAGAGACTACGGTTGTGATGGGGTCGTCCAATGGTAGGGATCGGGTATACACAATACAGGCAAGGACGGTATGAAGGACGTTTGCTCGGCTCCGCACTCTAATTAAGTAGCCATGAAGTAGAGTTCCCTTGAGATGTTTCTCCATAGAATGAGAGCATGCACATATATCTGCATCGTAATAGAACAATGAATTACATTTAAGTGGTGCGTCAGAATAGGTTTATAGCCAAAGAAACAAAATAAAAATTCACGTTTGTGATAATTGATGCTAAATAATGGTTATTCGGGGCCCAGCTGTCAGCTATGACACATTCGCATAAACCTATGCGTACAATGACATGGAGGACATGTGTAACGTCTGGTGGTTCAGCGTTTTAGACAGCATTCTAGCATTCGGAATCAATAAGATTGGTTCATAAATCATCTACGCACTGGCATAAGTTCTCTGTAGCTGCTTTATGAAGCAGCCCTGGTCCCGCCGCCGCAATGCTTTGCATTTCATCTTTCTAATATGGTGGGGTTGATTACCATGCGGACTCTAGGGCACGACGAAGGCAGTCGGGTCGGGAGACGGCGCCTTTTGGCACCACAGTCACCAGTCGGTGAAAATGTGACACCGTAGCGCGGCGACAGAGACGGCAGCGGCAGGGAATAGAACTGCAGAGAGGACTGTGACTGCAAGGGGTGTTAACCCAGATAAGGGAGGAAATTGGCATCATGGGAGTAACTGGGAGCCGGGAGGACTAAGGCCGTATGGGTGCAGAATGGTGACATGGAGCGGGCTGTGGTGACTGTCCTGACATGGGTAGGTATGGGCATTGTTGGTTTGTGATTTTGACTGTGGTTTTCAATCCAGGAAATTCCAAACCTAAGTGAAGCGCCAACGAAACCGTATATGTGGCTAGTCGTTATGACTTTAGTTGCCATGGTTAGCCGGCCAGCAACCAACAGGTTATATAGCTTCTGACTTACCACCAACTCAAGCAGTTGATGACGTGTTCAATTATGAGTCAGCATTGAAATGACACCAACCGAATTATACCTTTATCCAAACCTGAACACCGAGAGTATGCCGATTACAATTCAAACACCATGCCGGGCCGGTGAAGACATCCCCTTCTGTGCCGTATGGCTATCTCAGTGTGTACTGTGCAGCCCCGGTCTGTGAGTTAGACGGGCACCTCCGTCTAGCCGGCGCGGCTCCAATCAGCTCTGACCGGTATCGATCCGTCGATCAGTGACGGCGCCGCTACCGGCACCGAGCCGCGTGCGACTTCAATCAGCTGACGGGCGTGTCGGCACCACGACAGGGCGTGTCCGAGCTTTGATAGGGCGTGTCAGAGCGCTGATGGGGCGTGTCAGCGAGCGCTGATGACCTGCTGAGACCGGTCCACTGCCAGCCACCCGCCTGGCTCAACTTGTTACGCAGATACGTATCACAGGAAAATTACATCCGCGTGTCAAGGGCAGTTGTGAGTAATAAAAAACAACGGTACCTGCCGTCTTGTCGTTAACTGCTGAGCAATGCAAAAGCTGCTGAAGTAGGTAGGTATGTGAACGTCCTTCTCGTCGAATTAAAATGGACATGTTACGCTAAAATCGCTGGATTATCTGTGTTTTGCACCCGTTCCGCTGATAACCTGCGTTATCCTGTTTGAATCGCATAAAAGATACGCCAGAGCTCTTGCAACTGCGATGATGTAGTGATTAGAGAACTACGCATCGTATCCTTATCGCATAAAACTTTACGTCATTGTCGTTGAACAGGCGGTCAGGCGGCGCTGTTAATTAGCAATCAGACGGAATCAGTGGAGACACGTCCAAACCGGCCTCTGCAGCAAGGGTTCTGGTCGGTGTGACGCGACTCACACTGACACGAGGGGCCTCAGTGGGGTTGGAATGGACTGCAGGCTGGACTGGACTGAACCAGCTGCCTCTGGACCGGACTGGACCGCAACAGTACGAAGCTGTATCATTGAACGATGGGATTGCCCCTGTTTTGACCACAGCTTCGTCTCTCTTTAATTCGTGAAAATTCTTGTTCATGTTTGTTCACATTTGTTCATCGTTCACGTTTGTTTGTGTCTCACAGACGAATATAAAACTGAAGATATGAAAGTGAAGAGTAATCCATGCTAAAAAAAAAATGTTGTACCGCATATAACTATGTGAATCATTTACCTTGAAAAAGTTTAACGTCAATGACTGGAGGCTTATTTCAGAGAGATTCGTCATGCGAGAAGACATTACACTCAGCCTGCACCTAACCCGTACCAAGCAGTCACCCAATCCACACACATTCCACGTCAACGATGTGCAGTCTGCCGCAATATTCACACAGCCTCCTTCACCCAGGCTTCACTCAGACCGCAGCCGAGGCTGGCACCGGAGCCGGCCTCGGCCGCCCACGAGCCTGGCCGCTGAATGGCGGTCCGGCGGCCGCCCCCGCCCCCGCCCACGACTCTGGGTCCGGCCCCGGCTGGCCGAGGCTGGCCGACGCCCGCTGAACTACCGACCAGGTGACCTGAGAGCCAGGAGTCGCTGACGGACTCTGACACAGCAGCGCGAGGCGGGTCGGTGAGTCGCGCTCCATTCGGGCACGACAGCGGGTGATTAGGGTCAATTGTCCGGGCCAGATGTGTGGTCGACAGTCAGCGGTCGGTCGTCTTTGATTAATGTTCGATAACGTAAGGCCCATGATGTTGTACAGCGATGTTCCATTATGCCGTACACAATGACAGCATCGCTAAGAGCAGTCACCAAATTTGTCGCTTCCTGCCGACTTTTTGTACGTCGTAAATGAACCTGAGAACGCTGTGGCATTTTCCTTGTGGTGAAAATTGAATGGGTGTCCGAGACTCTGATCGGCAAATCGGATTACACGCAAACACACACGTAAGCGCTGCCTTTTTGATTCATCTAATGCTGGGTGGCATTGAAACTAATCGTAAAAATTATCGTGGGCCTTCTGCTTGCATCACAAGTCCTCGCCTTTTTCAGTTCTAGCCGCTGGAGCTCAAGATAAAATCGCATGTTCAGGAAAACAAGAACTTCGTACTCCAATATAGTAATGTTCAATACAGTGTGAGGCTTGGATATAGAGGATTCTTCATGGCTCCGAGTGGAAGATAAGGATATCTTTTCCAAGCGGGTTACTGAAAAACCGAGCGACGAAGGAGCGAGGTTTTTCTGTAACACGCGAGGAAAAGATATCCGATCTTCCACGAGTGAGCCATGAGGAATCCTATATCTTTCTAGTTATGTTGAGGTTTATTTCTAATCAATTAAATATTATATTTAAATGTATTCATCTATGTAAAAAAAAAAGATTTAGAGTAGTACGTTTTTATTTCATAAGTTTCATACATAAACAGCCATTAAAAATGCCGTTCGGTTATTGACCCATCATCAGTTGAACTCTTGATTTTTGGCTATGAACCCTCGAGACCTTATCTTTGCATCTCAGAGAGATGCAGAGATAACAAATTCTTATCTTTGCATCTCAGAGGAGTGCGAGATAGAAATATCCCTGCACTGTAGACCCAATGGCAAATAAACCTCAACTAGAAAGATATTGTTCACTGGATACTGAACAGACACATCCAATTCATGGCTAGGCTACCAAGCTACCATCTAATGCCTCACTGCAGTTTCCACGCTTTGGTGTTAGCTTCTTATGCTATACTGCAGTCTCCGACATGTGGTGCTACTGTTGTATGCGTTATTGCAGTCTCCATAGCGTGGCGTTAGCGGCTTGTGGGGCGTTGCAGTCTCCAAGTCAACCAAAGCTGACTGACTCCTGTTCGTTGATACCGTTTGATGCTATAGAGCGGTGCTACCGTTCTATGCTATACTGCAGTCTCCTAACTCCAAAGTGTGGTGCTAGTGCTGTCTGCCTTATTGCAGTCTCCATAAAATGGCGTTAGCGGCTTGTGGGGCGTTGCAGTCTCCAAATCAACAAATGCCGTTCCATGCTTTAGAATGCTGTTACCGTTCTATGTTATATGCTGCAGTCTTCAAAGTGTGGTGTTAGTGCTGTGTGTAATCGCAGTCTTCATAGCATGGCGTTAGCGGCTTGTGGAGTGTTGCAGTCTCTAGCCGCTAACGTCTCTGGTCTCTATCTCTAGATCATCGAATTCAAATTTTTCGTGTCGCGATGCACTGTTGAATGCTTGCGCTGCACAGATCGCTGTTTTTGTGCATGTTACACATTGAATAACATTATTTTACGGATTGTGGATTATACTTTTCATGCATTAGATGCCGCAAATCAAAACATTATACATTTAGTGTTGATGACTCAGCCTGGGAAGCACATCTCTCCCGCCCTGTGAGCGACCTCGCCCGCCAGACGGCCTTGTTCGGCGGCCAGTCAGTGTCACCAGCGGTGCTGAATATGCGCCGGCAGACGGCGGGCCGGCCGAAAACTGCGCCTCGGCGCCGCTCCGCCGACCGATCGCGCCCATATACGGCCGACGGAGCGGCGGCCGGGCGGCCGGCGCGCGGGGGCCGCCGACACGCGTGTCTGCCGGGCGGCCTCCAGTGCCTCTGACAGTACCCGTCAGCAGCCGAGGGGCTTCACCAGGCGGGTCAGAACCGGCAGAAATCCACAGCGCATACCTGAGGTATGGTGGTGTACCGATGCCTCACGAGTGCATGTCCGGGTCATTTCACAGAAATGGGACTCGGTTTATGATCCAGTCGAACTTCAGCTGCCAGGGTTCAGGAATCCGTAGCGTATAGCTGGGGCATGTTAGCTATATCGATAATTCCGGCATGCACATGCAGGTTATGCCATGGAAATGAGATCCCTTTACTCTAGTGGAAAAGCGGCATTGTGCTGAGCCTCGAAGCACCGACCGATAGTAAAACGTAAAATGAAAATAATCTGCTATGTCAAATGGCAATGCTTTGAAAGACTTTGCGTTGCTCTCTTATATAACGTTTCCGCATTACGCGCGAAAATATGACAGTTGCACTCAAATGGCACTGCCATTTTAGGTTAGTGATCTCACCGAAGCCACTTAAAGATCATTCGGTGTTTAAATATTCTCAATAAGCAGAGTACTGGCGGATCCCATGCTCAAAGGAACCTTTTTTAAGATTACATATGCCTTTTTATGGGAAGGGGGATAGCTCATGACGCTGAACCACTGCTGTTGAGCGGGGGACGGGTTCACAATCACATTTAGACATCGCTTGAGCACACGGGCCTCTTAGATCTAAAAGGGTCATAGTTCTAATGGCCCGCTGCATTCGCAAGCGTTTTGTGTATGCTAAGGGGTGACTAAGGTTGACTACGACGGTAAACACACTGTACCTATAGGTGAAGTATAATCTATTCCCAACCAATTCACCAACCGATTCAGAACTGGAATATCGCAAAGCGCACAAAGGTCCCAAGAGACCAGACGTTATACTTTTTCCGACCTACAGGGTGTCCCATGAGTTCGTTCTCACCTAAATTTTACGTTTTTAGGCTTTCTTGCTTAAAGGCACGCTGAAATTGGTTCGTAACTGAGCTTACATGGTTGCCATGGCTGGTAGAAATATGCTCCACAGTAGCTAATTTCTGTAGACAAAATAGTTTTTGCTAGAGAGCCCGCTTCCTACAGAGACGGCTAACGCCGCAACATAGAGGTCTCCGATACGGGTACGTCTCAGTATTTAGTCAGCACGTGACCATTCGCGACGATTGAGGGTGATTGAGGCCTACCAGTCTGTAGCCAATATCCATCGCTAACTGGACGCACAGTCAGCAAGTGACGCCGATGATTTGTTGGGAGTCAATAACTGCAAGTTTATCCTCTTTCTAGCCAGCCCTCAGGAATGAGCCAAGTGGCCAAAACTGTGTGGCGCCAAAGTGGCCATCAAAAAGGTCAAAGGGTTAGAAAGTTGGTAAACAGACTTTTCAGGATGGATTACCAGCTGTCTAAGAGTGTTCTTTCGGGGTACATAACTCAAGGTGACTTAAGCTTTGCTTACCGGAGGGCTCAAAACAGTCAAAAACGTCTTAAAATGGCCAAACATGAGTTTCGTTATGCCTGAGCCCTGAGGCTAAACAAAACTAGAGGGCTGATGACATCAACCAGGTCATCTGGACTAACTAGTCCACGTTCGAGATGAAACACCCGTCCAAACCCGAAAACAACCCCATAAGGGCGAAGGAGGAGGCCTTCATTTCGTCCCGTTATGTTCCTATGCAAAAGGCCAGGGTCACTGTGTTGTGGGGTTATAGGCGTTCTGGAGTTGATCAAGTTACAAGTGGCAACCCGGAAACAGTTTTGGGAAGCAGAATGCTTTTCCAAGAACATCTAGGAGGAATTTCAGCCCTCAAGCTGAACTCGAACCGCGAGTATGAACACATTTATAGAGGAGAAAATGGCATCCGGGAGGTCGTAGGCCCATCTTCAGGCAAGACAGTGCATCAGTGCACAGGTCAAGCAAAGCTTAAAAGCGGTGCAAGGAGACTGTGACAGGTGTTTGTGGCAAGATCACATGCCAGGCACCTCATCGGATCAAAATTTCATAAAAATTTGTTGGTTATGCTGAAGTTGAGGCTCGTTGAAGCGTAGCGCTGTTCCAGCCTCGAGGAGCTCACGGCGCATGTCAAGTCAGTCTGGGTTAACTTTAAGCCTGCTATGCAGCCAAACATGCCGGTTGGCATGCCGCAGCATGTATTCATGTGTTTGCCTATTAAATGGGGAGCACATTGAGGGGTCATAAATATACCAAAACGCAATGTACTCTGTTTCACATGCAAACATAATGTGAGAACGAACTTATGGGACACCCTGTACTTATGAACTGCAGATCGGTCCGCTTTAGGCCTCGTGCAGAGCTGGTCAGAGCAGGGACAGTTGGTACCGTTTAAAACCGCCACCTCTCATAGCTCAGTGACACTGCGCGGATGACGTGAGCCCTGTCCGTCCCATCGCTAAGACGGTGCGGATGACACAAGCCCCGTGTCTCCCTGCATCACAGAGCCCGTCGCCATGATACTTTAGGATGACGTGACCTGGGTCCGGCTTGAGGTCATCCGCAAACCGCAGATTGCACAGTTGTGCCGATACTTTAGCACAACCTTGATACGCATCAGAGTTCTGAATATCTTAAGAGCAATTTAAGATCCAGAGACGGGCATTTCATGCTTATTTACGAGTATCATTACTACAGGAGTCGAGGCTCTCAACATTCGTCAGATGGGAATTGCCATTACAACAGAAGCAGCACTTACGTAGAGATGGGCGTCTCCTGTATCCTGTAGTGCTGCTCGAAGGGCTCCTGGAGCACCAGGGCGCGGTACTGCTCCTCAGTGAGGGACAGCAGGCCCGGTTTGCGGTCGGGCCCCGGTCTCCAGGCCACCGACGGGCCCGGCTGCACCATCGGCACACTGGCCAGCGGCGCGTGCACCTCACACATGGCGGCGGTCCGTGGCGGGCTGGCAGCGCGCGCGCCGCTGAGTCTTCCCGGGGACACTCGTCGGCCGCCGGACGGTGCGCCGCCGCCCCCGCCTGCCGTCTGCTACTGGCGGCCGCGCCGCGAGCACCCGGTGCGCGCCGCACTGCTGACCTGCCCGCCATCTGGTGGGCCGGTGACCGCTGGTCGCTGCGGGAGGCTCGTTACCATAGCCGACCGGTCGGTCACCGGTAGGACGGACTGCTGATGTACCGTCACCCGCCGCCGGCCGGTGCACGCGCCAGAGCAGCGCCCGGCGTGGTGAGCCACACACAGACACAGCCGGCCGGTGCTGTCGGGACTCTGACAGGAGTGTGCGACCCGGTACCAAAATGTGAGGTCGATGGACCCCCGGTTAATGGACATACTCGTAAGTCAAAATTGTGTTCAAAGTAAAGGGTAAGCGGGGGAATGACGAGCTGATTTCACCGATCTCTGCGAGATGACATTTGAAACGAGCTCGAAGCAAGGGGTCGTTGAATTATGCAGCTGTATCTGAAAGCAGCGACGCAAACGGTCACGCGTGCTTACTAGTTGACAAATTGCCAGTTCGCTTGCTCGTTCGATCGTGATCAGTGATAAAATAAAAAGCACGATACACAAAATGCACGATATATTCATCGAAAAGACAATTTATATCAGGTCAATATAGTCGCTTCACACAGCTCAGAAAGACATCGTATTTCGACCCAGCAATGCCCCAGATCTCAGCTCCACTTCAATCAGACGGGCACTCTGAACATTTCCGGCTTCACCTGTGTCACGTTCACGGCCGGCAGGAGAGGGGACGGAGCACTCGTGACCCCCTCTACACTCGGCCGAGGAGTGCCAGCATCCCGCCGCTCAGCCACGACACCCGACCTCACTCCGTCTGCAGGCGGCGGCTCTGTCCTGGCGACTAGTTCCGCTGGCTGCGGACCGGGTGTGCCAGCCAGTCTCGTCGGAGGAGGGCCGGGAGTACCAGGCGCCTGTCCCACCGGCGGATGACCAGGGGCACCGGCCAACCCTATCGGCTGGTCGCCCGGGATGCCACCAGTTACCCCCTCCCCTTGACGCCGCTGTAGTCGGCCCGGCGGCAGTGTAACCCCGGCGTGCAGACGGCAGTGGGCAGCCAGCGCCTCCGCCAGACGGAACGCCTTACCGCACACGGAGCATACGTGTGTCCCGGCGGCGCCGTGACCGACACACTGACCCGCGCGGTGTCGCCGCAGGCTGCCCTGACACGTGTAGCTCTTGCCACAGGCCTGGCAAAGAAAGACAGATATTAGCTGGAGCGGGGACTCGATTTAGATTCGTTACACGAATTTCTCGATGTCAGTGCAAGCATGGGGATGGACCACGGATTCTACGGTCCAACACTGTGACGGGGGTGGTTTCGGTGCTGGACATACAAGTTACTAAGCGATAGGACCTGTAAGCTCGGCCCAGCAGCTAACGGCAGACCCCGGGCGCGCCTCAGACCCATCGGGTGGCTCCGATACGCTCGGCCGGTAGAGGGTAGCACAGTCAAGCACAGATGGTGCGATCACCGAACTACGGAAGGATTGGTCAGCTTATCGGCATCAAAGAAACCCTCGAGACAGTCACTCACCTCACACGAGTACGGCTTTTCTCCAGTGTGCTTCCGCAGGTGCTCTTTGAGATGGGCCTGCCCGAAGAAGACACGCAAATACTTATAGCCAGGCGCATGGCAGTATTACTTCACATTACTGCCCCGAAAGAACCTCTCAATGCAATTCGTGGTTTCCTAGTTCATCTTCAGTCAAAATGGGCGAATTAAACGGTGTCGGTAAGCTAACTAAGCAACACGAAATGTTACTACTGCTTCCCTGCCGTAACAACTTTCATTTCCTACATTGGTTGTAAGTTGAAAGACAGCCTGGAATCACCTGGCTGTCCCTATGCTGGCAGACTGTCGTAATTAGTTCCCTCACCTGATGGTAGAAGGCCTTGCCGCACACGTGGCACGTGAGGTGGCGCTGGCCGCCGCACACGGACGCCACGTGCCGCGAGAACGTGGACGGGTCCGAGAAGCTCTTACCGCAGCTCTGGCACCAGTGCGGTCGCACACCTGCAAGATGACAGGGGTCACCCGGGTCGGGACGGGAGGCAAACGTCACGTCAGACAGCAGAGCTGGCTATACGGCAGAGGAGGCCAACGGCGTGCTTGAGTTCGGTTTGTACGAAATAGCGAGACTAAAAACCTGGCACGTCACTCGCAACACTCAGTATTTAAACAGGCTCGTCAGATTCAGTGCTGCAAGTAGTATTTGTTTTGCCATTGCGAAATGTTTCGTAAAGCACTATACACAAATTGCAGCATGCTCCAAATGGCACGTTTATCGAAAGTCGAATGCAATGTACAGTCGTGTACAGGTTGATGGTCCCCTACTCTTTATCCACCGGGTTCCTATGGCTCAGCATTGGCAGCAGCCGCCTGGTACCGGTAGGCTGTGCCGCATGACCCGAGAGTGAAGCGGCACAGTCTACCCACGCCGTTTGACATCGGCTCGGGTCGCCGGGTGGAGCGCTTTGTAAACCAGCTGTTGCGTCAGACCAGCGCGGGGGGAGGGGCTCGTCTCGGTGGTTGGCGTGGGCTGGCGAGTGGTGTGGGGCTTGTTGGTGGACCATGGGGGCTGGGCGGGTGTGTGTGGTCACTTGCTGCATTGCACATTTTGCGTCGCTTAACAATTGCATTCCTGTTTTTGCTAGGCACAATGCACGGAAGACCCAGCGAATATAATTTACTTTACTTGTGCATTGTGCAAAACGTGATTTGGCACGGTATCGAGGCAACCATAGGTCTTGTGCCTATGCATGATATTTAGGCAATACGTTTATGAAAAGGTAGATTGATGCTGGATGTCAATTCGTATTGCTAAATGTCGGCAAGCATTAAATGAATGAATGAATCAATCAATCAATCAAACAATCAATAGACATGTATAAAACCGTTTAAATGGCTCGCAACCACTAATAGCAATCACACCATCCTAACTCGGAAAAGCAGCCGGAGCCCTGATGAGGCTCGAACCGGGACTCCACGCTGTAAATTTTGCCAATGATCCATCATCATTCCACCAAGCTAGAGTAACCGGCACCCGAACCCATAAAAACATTAATTGACTTTGCCGCCGACCTCCCGGCCCCGCCGCCCGCCCCGCCAGACTTTGCCCCGGCAATAGCCACCATCCGGTGTAGCTCAGCGTAGGAGTGCTCGACTGTCAGACTGACCGGTAGTGAGGGACCCGGTTCGAAACGCTTCGGATGCTGGATGTTTATTTCTCGGTGGGAGGCTTTACGTTTAGTCCACTTTTCAGAAAGAGCATTTGGTGACTGACCTGTTTTCTTTCTTTGCTGCAATTCATGAGGAGACCGTATGCACCCTTACCTGTCCTTCCGCATCCCACTTGGGAGATGGGTGGTTGCCCCCCCCCCCATGGGTTTGTGAATATCTCTAAAACGAATTTTTGGAGGGAGGATATGATCGGTTCTATGCGACAAGTGACCACACACGCCCAGCCCCAGGTCCGCTCACTCCTTACCCATATCACCCCCTCCCCACACCACACTCCAGCCCGCCTCATCCACCGAGCCGAGCCATAACGAGCCTCAGCGCCCCGGGGCGCGACCTGTCAGCGAACCGGCGGGGACGCGGGCCGGCGGTTGCGTGCGCCGCGGGGGCAGGGGCGCGTCTAGGCGTCGGGGACATCGAGGCAGCGCGAGCTGGCGCCGCCACGGCGACACTGGACCAGACCTGATAATTGGACACCTCAACATTCAGTCGTTGAAGCCCAATCTGCCGGATCTGCGAGACGACATTCATAGAGGAGTTCACGGATTTGATATATTGTCACTGTTATTATACCTATATACAGTGTTCGCTGACAGGTCGCGCCCCGGGGCGCTGAGGCTCGTTATGGCTCGGCTCGGTGGATGAGGCGGGCTGGAGTGTGGTGTGGGGAGGGGGTGATATGGGTAGGGAGTGAGCGGACCTGGGGCTGGGCGTGTGTGGTCACTTGTCGCATAGAACCGATCGTATCCCTCCTCCAAAAATTTGTTTTAGAGATATTCACAAACCCGTGGGGGGGGGGGGGCAGCCACCCATCTCCCAAGTGGGGTGCGGAAGGACAGGTAAGGGTGCATGCGGTCTCCTCATGAATTGCAGCAAAGAAAGAAAACAGGTCAGTCACCAAATGCTCTTTCTGAAAAGTGGACTAAACGTAAAGCCTCCCACCGAGGAATAAACATCCAGCATCCGAAGCGTTTCGAACCGGGCCCCTCACTACCGGTCAGTTTGACAGTCGAGCACTCCTACGCTGAGCTACACCGGATGGTGGCTATTGCCGGGGCAAAGTCTGGCGGGGCGGGCGGCGGGGCCGGGAGGTCGGCGGCAAAGTCAATTAATGTTTTTGTGGGTTCGGGCGCCGGTTACTCTAGCTTGGTGGAATGATATGGATCATTGGCAAAATTTACAGCGTGGAGTCCCGGTTCGAGCCTCATCAGGGCTCCGGCTGCTTTTCCGAGTTAGGATGGTGTGATTGCTATTAGTGGTTGTGAGCCATTTAAACGGTTTTATACATGTCTATTGATTGTTTGATTGATTGATTGATTGATTCATTCATTCATTTAATACGTGCCGACGTTTAGCAATACGAATTGACATCCAGCATCAATCTACCGTTTTCATAAACGTATTGCCTAAATATCATGCATAGGCACAAGACCTATGGTTGCCTCGATACCGTGCCAAATCACGTTTTGCACAATGCACAAGTAAAGTAAATTATATTCGCTGGATCTTCCGTGCATTGTGCCTAGCAAAAACAGGAATGCAATTGTTAAGCGACGCAAAATGTGCAATGCAGCAAGTGACCACACACACCCGCCCAGCCCCCATGGTCCACCAACAAGCCCCACGCCGTGACTCGCCAGCCCACGCCAACCACCGAGACGAGCCCCTTCCCACGCGCTGGTCTGACGCAACAGCTGGTTTACAAAGCGCTCCACCCGGCGACCCGAGCCGATGTCAAACGGCGTGGGTAGACTGTGCCGCTTCACTCTCGGGTCATGCGGCACAGCCTACCGGTACCAGGCGGCTGCTGCCAATGCTGAGCCATAGGAACCCGGTGGATAAAGAGTAGGGGATCATCAACCTGTACACGACTGTACAACATCAGAGTCAACGATATCTATCGAATCGGATACTGTGCAAATACAAATAAGCACACAACGGTATGGTACGTACCCAGGTGCCGGAGCATATGCACGCGTAGATTACTTCGCTTGTAGAATACCTTGGAGCAAACATCACATCGGGCACTCTTATACACAGCCCTGCAAAAGAGGTTATGTAGCTAACTAGACGCACAACCGTGTAAGTCAGGGAGTAAATATGTCGTACGATCCGCCCATGATTCTGAAACAGGCTCTCCAACTTAATTTAATCAGACCCCTACCACCAAATGAAAACACTAGGAAAACAGCAAAAAAAAAGTTCAATGTTCAATGTTTACTTGATCTAATGAGTCCAATCCCGACCCCCGGGCCCTGTTTCAGCGGTGATAGCAGCACGCTGCTATTACACGTGTCAAATTGGGTTTCCATGGAAACATCAACAAGCCATGACGCCGTCAATCTGTGTGATGTCATCAAATATTGCTGCTAACATCTTCACGGCCGTGCGATCAAACGAATGTATCAAACGCAATTCAACGAGACAGCAACTCTGTTCCAAACGCAGCTCACGGATTACACGAAACGTCATTAGTGTGACCTCATCACATTACGTCAGCTCGCGCAATTTGATAGTAGCGTGCTGCTATCACCGGTGAAACAGGGCCCCGAGGCATTGGCACACAGTATTGTGCATACTGTAATTACTTACTTTGTTTTCTTTTCTGACGGAGGTCCCTTTTCCACCTTGCTGCCATGTTCCTGTAACGATACCGCACCTCTGTGCTGTTCCACCTGCTGAGTATTCACGGTCTCCTGTTCGATATATTGCTGCTGTTGGACAGCGCTGGCCTGCTGTTCTGACTCCAGGCTGACCTGCTGCTGCTGCTGCTGCTGCTGCTGCTGCTGCTGCTGCTGCTGCTGCTGCTGGCCCAGCTGGCCTCGAAGCACAGCCAGCAGCCGCTCCACGCCAGCCTCGTCCAGGCCGAGCACACTGCACAGTTCAACAGCCCGCCGGCGCACCAGCGGCCCCAGCTCATCCTGAACTCCATCAACCTGAGTCTGGCAGCCGGCACAGGAGAGCGACACGGCACCGCCCCGCCGGCCGCTCACCAGCAGCTGGGTACGGCCGGCGCACACGTGGAACCGAGTGAGCAGCGCCGCTACTGCCGACAGGCTGAGGAACAGCTGGTCGCAGTCCCTCTCTGGTAGAACCATTGCCATTGGCAGCTCAGGAGGAAGTAACTGGGAACAATGGGCAGAAAAGGGTCAAAGTGGTTCAACAATGAGATTAATTCTCCCACCTTGCAGGACCTATTTTAAGGCAGCTATTGCATCCCATTTTGCCATTCCAGGAAGCAGCCCCTCACTCACACTTTGGGACATAGCCCCTGTTGATCTGACCCACTGTGTCCCTGCCCTGAGTACCCTGTCCTGCCCTGTGCCTTGTCCTGCCCTGTGTTCTGTCCTGTTCCCCACCCTGTGCCCTGCTCTCTGTCCTGTCCTGTTCCCCACCCTGTGCCCTGCTCTCTGTCCTGCTCTGTTCCCCACCCTGTGCCCTGCCCTGTTCCCTACCCTGTGTCCTACCCCATGCCCTGCTCTATGTCCTACCCTGTTCCCCAGCCTGTGCCCTGCTCTCTGTCCTACCCTATGCCCTGCTCTGTTCCCTGCCATGTGCCCTGCTCTCTGTCCTCCCTTGTGCCCCAGCCTGCCCTGATCTCTGCCCTGCTCTTTGTCCTGCCCTGTTCCTTACCCTGTGCCCTGCTCTCTGTCCTGCCCTGTTCCTAACCCTGTGCCCTGCTCTCTGTCTTGCCCTGTTCCCCACCCTGTGCCCTGCTCTCTGCCCTGCCTCCCCACCCTAGGCTCTGCTCTCTGTCCTGCCCTTTCTCTACCATGTCACCTGTGCCCAGATCTCTGCCCTCTGTCCTGTACTCTGTCCTTCACCCTTCCCTCTAAACTGCCCTGTGCTATGCCCTGTATCCTGACCTGTGTCCTATTCTCTGCCATGTGCCAGCTGCGGCCTGCTCTGTGCTCTACCCTGTTCCTTGCCCTGTGCACTTTCGGTATTAGTATATATAAGGTCCGAGTGGCGAACCGATTATGAAAAGCATACTATACGACATGTAAGTATCATTTTTGGATTCAGGATGTCAAATAATGTAAGAATGTGAAAAATTTATCTTTTAACAGGCACTCGGACCTAATGTATACTTTTACCGCACTTTCCTTAGGCCTGTTTCACTCCAAACTATAATGGAATATTATTTCATTATGCATGCAAAGTACATATCATGAGGCAGGGCAATAGGTTTGGGTGGAGCTTCCAAAATATGATGTCACAGAATGACTCTGCAGCAGAATGGCATGGGGGATTTTTATGATTGGTTTTGCTACCTAATCATGTGGCACACCAAGAGGTTGGATTGCCAGACATTTCTTTCTCATGGGGATGTTATGGGAGATGCAATAACACATAAGTGACCTGCCATCTTTCAGTACATTCAAGAAACGCAAACACATGCCATATCCATAGATTATCAGTTTTATACGAAACTGGTTTGCATTAATGAAAATTTTGGTTGCCTCATTTTGCCTGAGTGTTTCACAAAATATTTGGCAGTCCTAGGTCTGCAATGTCATCACAGGTGTGCTGTCAGAATAAAAAAAAAAACACAATCAACAAGTAACCCCAACCGAACCCTTTGTTGTTTTACAATTTTACAAATTTACAAATTGAAATGTTTTACAAATAACTTCGTAGTTCTATGACATTGACCTCTATTAGTACCTCTATTGGTTTTATAGAGGTCAATGTTCTATGACCCTATACAAATCTGGCGTGACTGAGACAATCCTTCAGGGTGTTCAGGATTTTTCCTTTTGGACGCCAAAAACTGCAGTAAAAGGCGAAAACATTTTTAGCTTGAGACAATGGGAAAAATAAATGAAAATGCTGCTTTTAAGCCCTGGCAATTTATGTGCCAATAACGCAGATTCAAGTAATTTGAAAGCTACCAATCAAGATATGAAACTCATTTTCTTTTACTTATTCTCTTTTCACAGTTGATTTTAACCGGGCATCACGAAAAATTTTCTATTTTTTTAAATTTTTTGCTTACATATCATAAGAGTATCTAAAAAGATGTATGAATTTTATGTGATATCAGGGAAGTCGCCGCAATCTGGCTTTGAAACTAAATTATAGTGAACCGTCAACTTGGGAAATATGGCGTAAAAGTCGCATATTTATGATAAAAGTCTTCATACAGCTTGCGACTTTTATCACTCGAACAGAGTTGCTGCTTTATTTGAAAATGCTTTGATCAATAACAAAAACAAATCAGTTGGTGACATACCGGGGAAATAAGCTAAAATTAGAGCGCTCTATTTATTGCTCCTGCCCCATGTTGAAGAGATACCCCTAAAAGCGTGATCTTTTATCGGCCCTTACGCAGCCAGGCAGCACTTCTCAGACTGGTGGATGGTATCAATAGAAAGAGAATGCGTCAAAGATTAACATGAATTAATTACAATAACATCAAAATGTTAATTAAGCGTGGAAATTAGTCCCAAACATAAGCTTATTATTGCTCCTACCTCGGCGACGGCGCTCCCCGCAGTCAGCGGGGAAGCTAAAATAAAAGCCACCATCCTCCTACGTAAGTCAATTTTAGAGCCGCCGAGTGGGCCGATGCGGGGCCACCAAACTGAGATAAGACGTGGCTAGCAATTGCAAACCGCCATAGAAATCAATATCTTTAGACGTTCAATATGGGATGATTACTCTGAAGCTGGAGTGATAGCATGAGTAGATTGCAAGAAACGAAATGCATTGATTGGTTGAATTATGCACAATAGGCACAGCTCAATAGATGAAGCCATTTCTATGATGTTGACATAACCCTTCCTCTCCTCACCAATGACCTAAGTACATTGGCAGTTGCCGGCATAGTTTTTTAGCACGAATGTATTTCGCCATCGGACCGCAATGCATGTTGCTAGGCTGCTGCAATTACAACGAACATACGAATACTGCCTTCATTTGTAGACGTTTGTTTTAAGGCGGTCTTTGACTACAAGGGGGCATACCTGTCGACAACTCGAGTTTCTCCGAATTTCAAAAACTCCCAGAATTTCAATGCCTTATGCACTGTTGTAGGTACAGCTATGTTCACAAGTTTTCGTTTCCTCCTGTTCTAAAAAGGATGATATTTGTCGACTTCGTGTGTCGCTGATAGGAGGGTGCGTTTAATAATTAGGCCCAACGCTTTCTGCATCCGCGAGTACCTTCAAAAGGGAACAACAGTTTCCATTTATTACACTATGGGACATGTGACAAAATGACCACTGGAACACGCATGAAACGGAGCTCATATTCCTAAAATGTCTACAATCACTTCTTTTCTGACACTATTAGCAAATACCGTCTCAAGTTAGGTGGTGGTTGACAGACAGTCAATGGAGATCTGAGGAGACTGAGTGATGCCAATTCACCACTTAACTGATAATGAAGGCCGAGGGGAGAGAAACATGCAACCAGGGGCGTCGACGCGTAAGGAAAACTGGTCCGACTTTTTCTCGGAGGGCCCCACCGGTGGGGGGCCCCCGCGAAGGGCCCCGCGAGGGCGCAGCAGGGCCCCCGCGAGCCGCAGCGGGGGGCCCCCGTTGCCGCAGCAGAGGCCCCCGTGGCCGCAGCAGGGCCCCCCGAGAGCCCCAACAGGGGCCCCCCGCGGCCGCAAAAGGGGACCCCGCGGGCCGCAGCAGGGCCCCGCGGTGTCTAGCAGGGCCCCAGAGGCGCAGCAGGGCCCCCGCGGTCTCTAGCAGGGCCCCCCGAGCCGCAGTAGGGCCCCCGCGGTCTGCAGCAGGGGCCCCCGCGAGCCACAGCAGGGCACCGCCTAGTCGAAAAAGTGGTCCGACTAGTCGGAAAAGTCGGACCGGTGTCGACGCCCCTGCATGCAACATGCACAACTGACAACTTGACAAGTGACAAAACACTACCACTATTGCGCAGTGCACAACAAATTACAGCAACCAGCCCAAAAAATGCTTTTGGTGGCTAATTGCAAAACAAGTCACTAATAAATATCTTAGTTGCAGCTGAACACTGCACAATGATCACGCTGTTCACGCATTGAGTGAGATGCCACAGGTGGTTTGAATCACACTTTGGTACAACTGCAAATCTGAATTGCTGTCATGAGGTTCATGCCTTCATGATCACAGCATTTTGGTTGTGGTTGGCATAACACTTTGAGTCTGCAGCGTTCCACATGAACTGCAGACACCTCATCTGGTGGTCTTCATGTTGCTCAACTTCTTCAGGAGGCAAATGTTGACCACCCAGCGGAAGCATGGTCCTGCAGAAAAGAAAGGTAATGCATAAGGTACAAACATTATCTGCTGAAACAGCCCCTCTTGTTGGCTGTTATTAAACGTTTAACATAACATAACATGTATTCCATGTATATTACATTTGTTGAAGTAAAATACTGCCGGCTATTTCAAAACCAGAAAATGAAATTATATTGTGGCATAATTCACATGCTCAGCTATTAGTATCAAATAATAAATCAATTTAAAGTTTGGCATATTCTATAAAACACATTCATAGAATATTCTACTTCACGTCACAAGGACTCGCAATCTTTCTGTTGGGTGTTTGATGCATTAACTAAGTTTGTCTTAAGTTTTATTATTGCAAAAAGTTCATATTGCATTTTTTTGTATCAAATACTGCCAGCAATAACAAAACAAGAACATGAAATGTGAATGAGCCAGCCGCCTTTCCTAAAAATGGGTTACTTTGAAAATAATTTTAGTTTCTTTTAAGGAAAAGGAGAAATGATTATCAGGTAATTATCAGAAAACCACTCAACCAGCAAGTGGCTGGGTGGTTTCACAGCAAACAACAAGCCAAAACATATACTTACATTTATCTAACAATTGAGCCATTTGACTACTACAAGGATATGTGAGCAAAATAAGAATCCAATTATCCAATGTTTACTTCCTTGCAAAGTTTATGCCTTATCTTATGAAAATGTGTCACTAGAATATGATATTTATCATCAATTGTTATTAAATTTACGATTTATTTCGATGGAAACGCACATCTAGTCCCGCGCCATTTTCGTCGACGATGAATATGATCGTGTTTCATGAAGAGATAAGGGGTTTCAATGGTCTTTCAAAGCATGATTTGATGCAAAAATTTGTAGGAAATAATATAAAGCTAGTTCCAATGGCCATCAACCAATTTAAAACACCGAAAATACTCACAACTCCGTCCCGACGACTACCCAGCACCGCGCACGCCACACTACTGGCAAAATGCCAAAACTGCTGTCACAGCAGAAATGTTTTTTTTCTCGATTTCAATTGTGGAATTATTTATTAAACAGAAGATGATCTTTCCGAAAAACCGACTGATTTCATACACAGATGCATAGAAAATAAAAAAATCCCGGTAAGTTTATTTGTATTGTTTTGCCGATTTTGACATGCTCCTAGTTTGCAGCCATATTTCGATATGTTCTACAGGGAGTTCAGAATTATTTCAGGACCAATCTTTTCCTCGTTCATTTTTCCGTCGACCATGAAATTTTTAAAGCGGAACAATTAGTTTCCAGGCGGTCCGAGCGGTTTTCGTGAGAAGGGTGCAAAAATCGGCGTCATTTTTAGAGCCTCGACACCAGCTCAACACAGGGCCCTATGGGAGACGGTGAAGTAGCGGGAGCAATAAATAGAGCGCTCTAATATTAGCTTATTTCCCTGGTGTGTCACCGACTGAAATGGGCGGGGATGCGATACATTCCAATTCCGTTGCGGCACAAGGCGAGGCTGTATAGATAGGTGAGATCAAGGGTGAGATAGTTTTCTATATACCGTGGGTGAAAGTTTACCTTTACTCCGGTTCTACCATTATTTTTTATAACTATTCTTTCTGCTCTCTTGAAAGTATTGTAGGTATTGCAATTGTGTAATGCAATATCAATATAGGTAATTATTGAATATGCTGATATTGGTGTTATATTGCAGTTTCAGAGAACTTAAGCTTGACCATGGATATGGTTTGACTGTATTTGTAATCTGATACTTTTTTGCATGTCACCTGTCAGTGTCAAAGCTGTAAACATATTTAAATGTTTTTATTGTGTGCGGTGGTACCCACCATGATACCTATTTCATTTGATATTCATTTCAATTTCAGAGGCCAGTTTTCCCAACAGAAAAATAGCCGCCTGCCGGAATTTTTTGTCTGGAGACCGCTACACATACAGAGTGTAAACACGCTGGGCTATTGTTTATGCTCTGTATGTGAAGCGGTCTTTAGGCAAACAATTCCTGCAGCCGGCTATTTTTCTGTTGGTAAAACTGGCCTCAGATTTGAGATTGATGTAGGTACATACATGTAGTTTGATTCAACCTCAACTCTATACTCTGATCCTGGAAAAGATCAGTTTGACTTTCAATTCATTTGAAAATCAACGTACCTGACTTACTTTGTGGTTTTGGGTTAGGAGCTACACATAACCCAAGAGCTGGTAAAGAGACCATTCTCCAACTATTGAATCACCACATATGTTCTGCCTGAAAGTGTATTGGAAATGTATTGTGCTGGGAATGATGCTGACACAGATTGCAGAACCAATGAAAACTATGCAGTGAGTGTGTATGTTGACAATGATCAGAACTTGCCAAGTCTAAGGAGTAGAATTCACAAAGAACTGGGTTGACTTCATCCTGCAGCAGTATTATGAAACTCAATGCAACTGAGAGACTCAGTACCTGCTACTCACTGCAAATAGTGGCCCACTTAAAATCTATGCATAAAGCAGTGCTTTGCTTAAGAAAACCATGAGGCTTGAAATGCACCACAAGTGTTTGGTGAATCCCACTTTGTGACCCTATTGACTATTAGTCTCCTTTATCACAATGAACTTGGTCACATGTAAGCCTATAAAAAAATGATGACAGAATAATTCCACTTGTAATTGCTTTGTGCACTGTGCTTCATGGTTGCTTTCATGCTATTGCATTTTGTCAATAAACTAACAAGTTTTTATCATTTTAGCCACTGTTTCATACAAGATCAAGAGACAAGATGGGCCTGTTCTCAAGCATTAAAAAATTCAAAGGCCAAGACTATGATAAACTAAAGAAAAAGTGTCAAGGGGCAGGTAAGTTTACCAGTAGATTATTTGTTATTGCCAACATAAACATTATGCATGGTGATGTAATTGAATATAAAGGTATAAATAGGTTAAAATGTAAAATGGTATCAAACTATGATCAGTTATTCATTATGATGTCATGCACAAGTATGTACCAGTATGAGTATGGCTGTTTGCAACCTTTGCAACTTGGTTGTTTACTGGTATTGTGCTGGTTGCAAAGCTTGGGTTGTATCCTGTGTCGTATCGCGGCACTGCCTTTGGTCACCGTCTCCGGTCCCGGCAGGGGTGCTGTTTACCGACTCGGAGTTCCCCGCGGCCGCGCGCTCCATCAGTCCCAAAGGCGTACCGCCGGCCAACGTGGTCTGGAAGAGGCCGCACGTGAGTACTGGGGGTCATTGGTCGCTGATGAGGCGCTAGTCACGATGCGAAATATTTGATTGGCATGCTGAGCAAATGCAACGGCCTTGGCTGTTTATTAGCATTGGCAAAAACAGGTTATAATATGTTCATCCAATAATAGCACGCGGATAAGTGGGATATCTGTTACGCATCCATTACATCGGTATTTTTTGCCGATGCCTACTTAGCACCTACTGAAGTGCTGCTTAATGTGATGGCGAGTCAGTTCTCTCTTCCGGTTTCCACCGGCGGTTTATAAATACAGGTAAACAAAATATTACGGCGGTACAGCCCCCGGGATGACGGGGAAGCGACGGTACAGCCCCCGGGCTGTCTGTGCTGGGACGGTAAAGCCATCAGGCTGCCGTTGCCGCGGCGGTACAGCTCTCCGGACGACGATGCTGCAGTGATGCAGTTTCCAGCCGACGGTGCTTTAAACTTTGCGTTAATTAAAACCCGGATGTGCTATGTGAGCCATTTTGGACGAGTGCTGGCAGTGAGCCGGGCGCTCAGCGTCCGTCGCCCGCCGTATGGGCGCCGTCAGTGCACGCCGCTAGCTCCCATCGTGCCGTGAGCGGGACCACGGTGGAACGCACGCTCTGTTTACTGTCGACTGACTCATATCTGACGTCACTATCGCTGAGCTCGACTCATCGGGTCGCGCGACAGCTGCCGCAGAGGTGCTGAGCCGGCGGCTGTGAATGACTCAGATACTTAGACCGCCTCTTTGACGTTAAACTAAAACCCGAGATGCAGCTCTATCAGCAAAAGCTGTACTGAAGCACACGAATAGTCAACTATCAACTAACTAGTTATACCTATGTTACGTCAGTAGGATTATACCGTCCTGCTTGTTTCTGTCAGCCCCTGGCCGACCTCACGCGCCCTCCCTCCACGCAGGAGATCTGCGAGAAGCCTCGTCTGTTCGTGGACGGCGTCGGCACGGGTGACGTCACACAGGGTCAGCTGGGCAACTGTTGGTTCGTTGCAGCGTGCTCGGTGCTCGCCGGTGTCAAGGTTCTCTGGAACAAGGTGAGCGCGCCGGAAGGAAACCTTCGGCAGACTGACTGGTTGGGGTGTGAGGCCGCGAACCGACAAAAGTTATCAACGGACGCCAGGTTTACGGTAACGGGTAACTTACGAGCATGTAGTGTTGATGGGCGTTTCACGATGGACCACGTGCAAAAGACATCAACGCTTGCTGGGTGAATATCTGCTCGGTGAATATCTGTCCAGTGTATATCCCAAGATTCTTACAGATATCCATTATATCCCAGTAGTGGCATCTCCCGGCGGGCGCTGACACCTTTATAGAGGATTAAATGCTTCCAGTATTAGATAAATAATAGGAATGAAGGAACTTTGGAGGAAATCATTATTTAGAAGAAAGACTTAATTGTGGGAAGTCATTACGCAATCATTGTTCTACATTACGCCAAGTCGTACCAAGTAATGTTTCTCTTTGTTTATAGGTGATCCCGGACTATGAAGAACAGGAATACAGCGATGAGGATCCGAAACGATACGCCGGCATATTCCACTTCCGGTGAGTGCTGTGTTCAGAAGTGCAGGCTATGCTCAGAATTTGATTCCTGAGTTTTCCTCCAGGAAATCGGGTGTTCTCGTTTTGTTCCTGTGTGCGTTCTGGTTAGCTTGCTGTCGGTCCAATCTTTCGTTTGTTTTGTAATTCCTCACACCGCCCGTTATTCCGTGGGTGTCAGCCGTTCTTACGATGTTTATTTGGTTCGTGACTTTCATCAGGCCCCGACTTGGCAGGCGGTATCGAGCCGTCGTAGTATCGGTGTGTGTTCCGGTCTGATTGTGCGTGTGTGTCTTCGTGTGTGTCTGCGTGTGTGTCTGTGTCTGTGTTTGTATGCCGGGCTGTTGCTGCTAGCTCGGTATCCAACAGCACGCCGCGCGGCAGGTACGAGCAGTGACTGTGTGAGTCCCTCGCAGGTCCGCTCCAAGGCAGTAGCACATGGTCGATACCGGCGTGTGACCATTGAATGGGGGGTGGTAATGTCAGGAATGGGGTCGCCAGTCGCCACGCTCCCCGCCCAAGGCCGATACCACACCGGGAGTACGACTTTAGGACCGACGGTATGACGTCAGGGTAGGCGGAGGGGCATGACGTCAGCTCGGCACGTAGCCACGACACTGTGCAGTGTGCACTGTGCAGTTGTAGCGGCACGATCGATGGACGGCAAAGAGCGGGTTCACTGAACTGAAGGCTGCCGCAGCGCAACGAATAGCATGGGTGGGCGAGCCGCATATTACTTGTCAAAGTGAATACGACATGCTAGACCGTTTCATTAACGATTATTAAATTGGCAAGAATGATGGGTTCGGCTTGTTTTCACATTCTCAAATAATTGAGCATGTATCGGTTTTGTCAATGCTGAAAAGAAAGGGGTATATTTGTTTCTGGTCCCTAAAAAGCTGTTTCTGGCACCTAATTGCTGATCAGCCCCAAAATGCTTATTCGACCCTAATATCTAAATCTGGCACCTAATTGCTTCCACACAGCCTAAAGTTGCCAGATCGTCTAGTTGAACTCCGTATTTGCTGTTTGCTGATTCAGCACCAAAACCAAAACATCCAGCACCTATTTTATTCCACGTTTGCCTACCTAATTCGCGTAATCTTCCTGATTTTATGTATCCTAACAAACATGAACGTTGCATTCGGTGATGTCAAGTGCCATTTTCGCCAGTGGAGATAATGATTAATGCCATTTCTAGCCAAAAGAGAATCACTAGCCAGCTATGGTGCAGCATAGCAAGACGCTCCTATACCTACCAGCCCGCTATGTAGAGATTATTGCACCCTCAGCCATTTTAACGTGAAAAGTTTGGATCCGTCACTTCCAGCCAGGCTCTCAGGTCATAAACTGGAGTAAAGCAAAATGTCAACTCTGAACAGACATGCCACGCAACCGGCCCTCTTTTCAATATTATTAGCTTTCTGCAATCATCGTCTGACTCCATCTCGATCAAACGCAGCATCCGGTTTCTACAGGGGCGTTTGACTGACCGGCCACACAATAACCAAAAACAAAATCAAAGCTTCATGCACACATAAGTAAGAAACGGATGAAAAAGGCACAACCACGGCAAAACTCTGCGCGGCGAACAACGGGCAATGTCCCACGTAAGATCCCGCGTTTATTCAGCGGCCTTGAACGGAATAAAAACATTACATTTCTTTTTTGGAGCTATTTGATGACGTCAAAAAATACAATACCCGTTTTAATGGTCAAAATCGAGACAATTACTCACAAAAATGTTTCCCTTTAAGCATTACAAATAAATACTTTTAGATATTTAAATGACATTGTTTTTTCAAACAAATCAATATTATTTGCTTACTTAAACGTCATATACAATGCTGAGATCACTACGGGGCTGTCTTAGAGTGTAGCTGCACTGGCAACCTTTAGGCTAGACTCCAGGGGTCATTATACCAGAACAGCATGATTCTACCAGCCAGTAGTTCATTTTTCTACTAGATTGGTGCTACGCTCAGCATTTAGGTGCCAGATTCAGAAAAAAGAGTAAGGCGTACCGATGAATAGGTGCCAGAAACAGCTAATTAAGGTCATTTTCCATGATTGGTGCTGGTATCCACCAAATAGGTGCTGAGGACCAATTTTGGGGCGAGTCAGCTTTTAGGTGCCAGAAATAACTTTTCTGGGACGCAATTAAATGGCGTCCGAAAAGAAATGTTTGGCGGTGGTGGCATAGTTGGTTTGATATGGGTTAACCACATTACACCACCAAACCAACCGGCAACCACCAATATTAAGTCGCGGAGATATGTTTTGTATGATGGAAATCATACATTTTAAAATGATTTGTCTTGAGTTAGCTCCGTATATTCACACTTTTTGAACATGTTCACGGTACATGTAAAATGAAATCCTAGTTTTGAATTACGCTTCGATTGCCCGTTGGTTGGGAGTGTGTGCTCAGTGCTGACCGTATAAGTGACGTCTCTGTACGCGTCTCCGCTTCTGACCGTATTCGTGACGCCTCCGTGGTCTGTGGTTCAGGTTCTGGCGGTTCGGCGAGTGGGTGGATGTGGTCATTGACGACCAGCTGCCCACCGTCCACGGTCAGCTCATCTACACTCACAGCCGGGAGCGCAGCGAGTTCTGGTCGGCGCTCCTCGAAAAGGCATACGCCAAGTGAGTGCACGCATTATATTGGTATTATCTGCTGTCTGGGACCCATGTCGGTATCACGTTAGCCACACCAGTCAGTCAGATTAGTACGTCCCTGTCGCCCGGGTCCCTTCACAGGTCTGTGGCTGTTACCACGGTGGGCGGTGCCGTAGGGTTCAATTCCCACGAGTTTATTTGCGTGCGATACATGCCACACGGACGGGATTCCAATAATAGGCCCCTGATGGTAATCGCCTGGTGGTCCACACAAACCGGCAAGTGAGGCAATACATACGGGAGAGTAAAAACTAAAGGGCAGATAACTGGTTCGCTTGCGACGTTCCTACTGCGTCGTTCCGCTAGATAGTTGATACGACGTGCTCAAGCGCGTCAAAGACGGCTGACGTCAGTCCTCGGCTAGTATGATGTAGGCAGTACGATAAGCTGCGTTGTGCAACGCGCACCAAGGTCATCAAGCGTGGGTATGTTTCATATCTCTTTGTAATACCCGGCGGATTTCCTCGACCCGCCGTTTGACACACAATCTAGATTGGTATGCCAGTGTAAGGAATGGTAGTTTCCCGACGTTCCCGAGTTCAACGCCTAATCTCCGTATTACATTATCACTCTCTGATTGTAGTCTGATTTTCGATAGCTTGATACATCGCCGTTGATTCGATACCGACTGTTCTTTGTGAGGGGTCTCGGTATCCAATGGCTTTGTGCGTCGGTTTGTTATGTTGTGCAGGCGGCATACCTTCGATATGGATCGATGCCAGCGTACACTGACAAATGAAGGCCGGTGGCTGGAACAGCGGGCTGATCCAGTTATGACTGGAACTGTGGTCCCTGCACCGGGTAATCGTATTGATCAACAACGAAAGAGGATTACGATAAGCCCATTCAAACACACGCTGGTGACACGTTGATGACAAGTTTTGCATGATGTCAACAATGCAAAGGGCTGCTATTTTATTTTACCTGTATTACATCATGTTTTAGTGGTTGTGTTAGCACTGCTGTCGTTCAATTCACACGTGTACAAGGATGATGGCGTTTATTCGATTGATCAGTATCCAACTGTGCTTTTTCACAACTGTTTTGCAACGGTCTTTATACCCCTAGTTCCACCGGTGACGAATATCACCTTATATCCGTTTCTCACATAACGGTCACAATATTCCTAATGATGGTTCCCATATCCCCGTACGGGCTTCAAGCCTTCAGGTGACCCAAATGACCCTAAAATTGCATCAAATGCTCCACCTCTCTCCGTGCTCAGGATCAACACCTCGTACGAGTCTCTGGACGGGGGTAACCTGTGCGACGCGCTGGTGGACTTTACCTCTGGCGTGTCGGCGACCATCGACCTGCTGGAGGGCGGCTACCGCTCTGACGACACCAAGAAGACGCAGCTCTTCAAGCAGCTGCGCAGGGAGATGGACGACTACGCGCTCATGTGTGCCGCCGTGGCGGTGAGTGCCCGCTGCTGAACCACTGTTGGCGGAGCTAGGGTGGGAAGGTGGGGAGGAGGTTGAAGGGATCACAGGTGCTATGATTAGAGGTGAAATCGCGAAGTACGCGCTAAAACAGCTTTCCTCAGTCTAGCACAGTATTGAATGACAAATTAAACCCGTTGTGCGTCACCAGCGGCGTCCGACATAACATTAGATCACAAGGCGCGCCCCTGGGTACCTGACCGGGTGTCTTACTGATCAGGAGCTTCAGCAACATACCTACTCAGGGTGCATGAATTAGTCGCTGAGCCGTCGTTGCCGCCTGTGCCTCTGCGTACTGTCTATCCTCGTAACTTGGCTAGGTATGACGCTTCCAGACATAGCGACGCCTTTTCAGACTCCTGTCATCAAAATGGCCTGTAGTCGGCGACGTGTTCCAAGGCCCCTTATATTTCATATTTTGATTCATATGTGATTTCTTGATCGTAATTTAAAGTGTTTTTTGACTGTAATTACACGATACCGTCATATTACTTCAATTTAGCATTGTGACCACTTTCGCTTCGGAGGTTAGTGAACCTGATGTTTTGACATTCCATGGCAGACTGACTGCGGAGCGCGGACATCCACTCAGCGGCTGTTGTTGACGCCGCGTCAGAGACGCGCTGGCCAGACTGTGTGTTTTCGTGTTTGTCGAAAAAAAAAACCGATAGAACCTGTTATTTCGCCGTCAGATACTATAGTTTGGAGCTGTCTGGTCAATACGTGAACACGCGTATTGGAAAATACGTGAACACGCATGTCGACAGATATTCAGAAGTTCATTATAGGAGATTACATCATCATCTATTCGACTAAACCGAACATGACCTTACGAATGACCTACACAGTGTACCTTTCCTGACCTGACCTGTCCACCACCTCTCGTCCCGGCGCAGGCCCGCAGTAAGGCCGAAGTGGAGCAGCGTACCGAGCTCGGACTGGTGAAGGGACACGCCTACGGTATCACGGCCATCAAGAAGGTGCCCATCGGCAACACCACGCTCGTCAACTTCTTCACGTGAGTCTGTCCCGACGACCGGACACTATCAGGCACTTAGGGAGGGGTATGTCGGAAGTGTATACCCCGACAAGCTGTTACGCGATAAGGGACTATTTGTGCCCGAGTTTGAGTGGTGGAGTAAAGGCTGACGACCTTTGCTGACATTGTTTCATTTTGTGCAGCCGTAATAAACTGTCGCCTGGCCTAAAATGAAGCACTTAGCGGCCAAACTATTAATCAACTGCAGGCAGCATGATGCTTGAAGGTAGTGTGCCAGCTTTCTTGGACCGTATGGAGTTAATGGCCCAGATAAGGAGAACCGGATTTTTAGAACTTATCCATACCTTCAAAACTCATGGAAACGTCTTAAATTCTTCAAATTTTGAGTACCCCAGTGCGAAATTCGCCCCGACGGGTTGTCGGTCGTACCCCAACCACATTTCACACCACTATGAACAATAAATGCACACACTGAAATCGCTATTACCGATATGCTCATCCAATCAAGTTTCGATAAACCCGTTCATCATCATCTCCTGCGGTTTCGAACACGCCTGTTAGGTGGCTTCTGATGCTCGTCGAGGTCGGAATTTCCAAATACGCGTGGTGCGTCGGGCCGCGCGCTCTGACTTCGGCCAAGAAAAATGCGTCAGCTGATCATTGTCATTTCTGCCACTTGCGTGTGGTGAAATGGGGTCATAACTTATAAGACGGCTTTTTCATATCAATTATTTTACATAAAATCATATTTCAAACCATAAATAATGTTCGACAGCCAAATAAAAGAAACAATACAATACGGGCTTACAGTTTAAGGCTCGACATTGTGTTGTCTACGATTAGACAGCTGATAACTCATTCCCGTACGTCGTATGGTCGTAACACTATAATGACCTTTGCTTATTGTCACAAGTGCGCCGCATTCGCGATTGTTGCCCGACGCCTGTTTGCAGGTGAGCCCACTACAGTTGTTATACATATCTAAAAACCGAAAAACTTTTAGGCGAAAAAGGCACTATTCCAGGCCCATTTTTGATTTTTTTTTGCGATATTAGGTAAAAACAGAAGCTTCTTATCCTAGGAAAAATAAAATGGGAAATCTTTCAAAGGTGGCACACTACCTTTGAATATAGTAATTCTGAAGGAACGTTATCATTCTGCTTTGAACTTATGGAACTTTGAAAGGTGTTATTGAATATAAATAATCCCTGACTGGCAACAGCACGCATTTTGAGGTGTCTCTGCCTCCCTCTTCACTATTTTCTCTCTACGGCTTTTACTGACCGCACCCTGTCCCGTGCAGCGGCCGGGAGAAGATCTACATGGTGCGTCTGCGGAACCCCTGGGGCGAGAAGGAATGGAACGGCCCCTTCAGTGATGGGTGAGTACCCGTCCCGAGTACCCACCTCTGTACCATCGTACTGCGGTATCGTGGTACGGCGGTACTGCCTGAGACACCGTGCATGTCTGCCACCGGAGCCACGGCCGGAGCCCGAGGCGGCCGCCTGAGAATACCGCACCCTTGGACGGCTGCGAGCGCTGTGCAGTGGGCGGGGTGGGAGAGGGAGGGTACGGGTACTGCCCCCGGGCTGACCGGTGGTGCCAGCTGACTGGACCGCCAGCTGACTGGAGCGCCGTGCCAGCTGTTCAGACGGTCATGCCAAGAGCTGGTTTACACAGTCAGACTGTGCGGCGTGTGTCAGCGGGTAACCGAACCGTTTGACTGACTCGCTGTCTACGGTCTGATGACTGCTGGGGTCACAATGTACACACCACCAACTGACCACTGCAGCACGGGACAGATGTGCTGAGTGCGAACTCAGCGATCAGATTCCCGTCGAGTTGGCACTGAGCCGAACGGCTGCATGCCCTCCCGGCCGCTCGGCGCGGTCCGTGAATAGATGCACGAGTTAAAACGGAACGGGGTGTGAGGAGTGTTACTAACAGCATGGCTGGATGCAGGGGAGGGGAGGGGATTATGGTTGTCATACCCTAAACCCAGTCACTTGATGTACGACCTTCATCCATACTCGACCTACCTCAAAACGTACTCAGCATTACAGAGTACCAGCTGTAATTTCCTTATGAATCGTATGATATAAGCGAAAGGTATATTCGCTTCGTAAGTTTTTTTTTTTCTTCTTACAAACCCTCCGGTCCAAGAATCCACTCAATAAGTAGATGAAATGCTTGTAGGGGCGTATTTCATTGACCGGCATAAAAAGCTGAGTTTGTGCTGGGTACCCTGAGCCACCTCATAACCAGCGATACGAAACCCGCCATCTGTGCCCCTGTATTGCAATGACCCGGTGTCTGAAGGTTATCCCTGACACGATCAGCTGTGTTTGTGTTATCGGACCGAACAGATGCTTTTGTTCCGTAGTGAAGCGGTAGCGTGTCGGTTTCGATACAAGCAAACGTGTCCCGTGGTCCGTGGACTAGGTCTTGTTCGCTATTCATGCAGATTTTGTAGGTGTATTTACGCTCTTTTTGTGTAATGTTGTGTGTTAACCCCATAGTCGTTCTGTGACCGCAATACCAGGATGCGGAGACGATGCACCGATCGCTGTGAGCTTTATTTGACGTCCCACACACTGCCCGCTAAGTGCACTGTGCTGTGACGCTTCCCACCCTGTGAACACTGATGCCATCCACTGTCTCCAGGGAACATCACAGACTCACAACTCTCTGACTCTCACCAACTCACAAACTCTGACTGGGCCTGACTCACTGACCAGGCCTAACGTCTGCCGACCACCACCCAGTACCCCTTCCCACTCCCCCGGCCGACCTCCCGTGTGTCACCACCGCCCCAGGAACCAGCTGCGACCACCGGACGGTCCAGTGGGGCCGCCGAAACTGTCGCCCAACTTCGTACGTCAGTGGCACAGCCGTGCGGCGGCCGGCCGGCCGGAGACTCCTCCGGTACCGACCCCGGCTCGCCAGGTGTACCGGGAGCTGATGAGTCCGCCGGCGCCCGCCTGGCTGGCGGAGAAGGAGGAGAAGCGCGTGTTCGCCCTGCCCAGGTACCGGCGGAGCTGTCATTATCCACCCAGCACGCGGTTGACGATCGGAGAATGCCGGCGGGTGTGAGAGTGATAGAGAGCCAGATTGATTTGGATCGTTCACTGCCAGCGTGCCCATTGTTTGAGTTTGGAGAGTCGTTTCTCGTTGAATGTTGATGGTTGCTTAGTTTGGACTGTGGCCTGCGATTGATGGTTGATGAACTTCATTACCTATTGGTTTTGAATGGTTGGTATGTTGTATATGGTGAAGCTGGTTGATTTTGTTGGCAGTGCCTTGTCTGTTAGGTCTCCTTGCTTGTTGACTTAACTTGGACTTTCGTGGGTATTTGAAGTTTTGTTATCAAATACTCCATCACACATTTCAGCATGCACTCATTCCAGTCGGGTTTGGTTTTCCACAAAGTTGACGGTATTCCGCACAGCACTCGCGTAGTTTGTGGATTCAGCACTCTGATCTTCGCGTTCGGATGAACCATAACACTTTGAGGCATACTAGTTACTTTGTGTGTATTTTGTGGTCTCCTGAAGGTTGACTTTCGCAATCACCGGTCAATATGTTTGAGATATCCACACCTTGAGTTTGAGAGAGTGTGCACGCACCGTCGTATATGGCTCGCTCGTCCACCTGCGTTTTCTGCCATTCGATAAACACCATGATGTGCAGTGAGTGCGCACGATTCACGATTTCCTCTCACCACGCACGGGACTCAGTGTATCTCTGGTGGGTAGAGTGTCCGTCTGTTGGTCTGTAGTCTGTGTCACCGGGTGCCGGCGTGCTCCGCCCTGTGTGTGACCCGTGGCACTGCTGTGTTCCCCGAGAGAGTCTGCCGAGGCGGAGCTGTCACCCGAGAACCCCTTCTATGAGGAGCCCGCGCCGGCCGCCAGGTTAGTTTGAGTTGGCGACGGTACTTGCGTGATGTTTACGTCTGTATTAGGAGGGGATTATTGGCACCTCATTATTACTTCATTGTTAGCCGTGATACAGTGGCTCATGAACCCCGGATTATCTGAATAACTCTGGGTTGTATTGGCTTATTATGGCTGATTTTATACACAGTGATAATTTCTCATGCGTCATGCATTCCATTTCCTTTCATGTATTTTCGGATTTATTCCCGTGAGAGCCGTGTCGGCTAAATCTTTTTTTTTTGTGATGCGTTGAATAACTTAACACTTCTCACTCAATGCTCACGTGTTTCATTCGTCTAATCGGCACCAACGTGCGTGGTTTTGTTTTCTACAAGCATGCCAGCTCCTGGAAATCCATTCGAGGATGAAGACGACAGGTCAGTTGAAGCGCAATAGGCAAGCCCGATGTTCGATTTGGAGCACATCAGCACTCATGAGAAAGCGAAAGGATGTCCTGGGACTTTTTGTTATCGGGTTGCGTTCGATTTTGATATTCATTGGATATTTTTATCTTATTCAACGATGCTGACGCCAGCGCATCAACTCGTTATTCTACTTTGATCAAGTCAAATTCAGGCACCACCTGTGCTCTCCATGGCTGGCTCGTCCGCTAACCATTCCTGTGACTGGGTGCCTGCAGCGGCGCGGGCGACTCTGGCCACGCTTCGCCGGCGCCCCCGCTCCCGACCAAGGGGACCCCGCCGCCCCCGCTCCTCGTCCAACCCAGGTAGGCTAGCAATGAGGCGTGGCGAGTGTCAGGACCGTGGGTAGGGGACCTACGCCGCTCTAAGGTCAGATATTGGTAGAACATTCGATAAAGCTCCCTCCACCGAGCTAATACAGTCGAGAGTAGTGACCGTTTCCAAAACATGGAGCAAAGATGTATGAGATGCGAATGGTAAATGACACAACATTCAGTGTCGGTGCATTGATGCTGCCATCTCCTAAACGGTACGTTGATTTGGTGAATCAGTTGCGAACATTGGCGTCGTGTTGACCTGTGGCCGCTGCCGGTGCTTGCCTTCTATGTGATCCTGCGTCAGCGCCCCTCCGCCGGAGAAGTCCAACCTGGGCTCCCCCAGCATCAGTGAGCTGTTCAACGGCCTGGAGGAGGGCGACAAGACGCCGCTGCCGCCGGCGGACGGACGGCGGACGGCCGAGCCGGCCAGGTACGCCGGCGCACAGCGGGGGATGCGGGAATGAAACGGAAATCAGAATGAAAACCAGCGCACTGCAGTTGTCATATGACGTTCTGTCGAAAGTATGCTAGTTTCTTATTTGATAATCAGCAGTTTGACTTGGAGTGGTGGTAAAAACATTCTAATACCTATTGACAAATCTGCACTCACCTGGACCTTCTTTGCATTTGTTAATTTTATCGTCATATTCACTACGTCTGAACCAGCCTCCGACAAATGAGAGGAATATATGGCGGATGTGGCGTCGGCAGTGTGGGCGGCACCCTGACCCGGCCCGTATCTACAGTGTGGTCAATGGCGGCGGTCCACCTCCTCTGGAGATGCCCCCTGTGGAGTCGGTGGCACCGCCCCGGGGGCCGGTCCGCCTGCCCGCCCTACCGCCCAGGTGACGGTCACGGAGCGCGTCACGTCACGTCACGAGACGTGTTACTCGTTACACGGCACCGCCCGGCGTGGTCAAAATACCAGCACGCACCGCACCGGCACACACCCGTGTGGTGTTTATGTGAACGTGATGGTATGTGCATCGGAGACTGATATAGTCTCCGAGGATGGTGTAGTTCAGCGAGGCACGGTTTGGCGACTGATTTGGTGCATGGTCCGTGAGCCTTTGATGTTCGGCTCCATCGATAGATGTGTTCGTGAAAGTGACTGAGAAGACGCATGGTGGTAAACTGCTCTTCTGAGATCGATGTGTCATTGCCTGCCAGAAAAACAGAGCGCCTCTGACGTTGCCAGAGTTTGAAGTAACCTCCACAGCCGCAGATGAGCATGTCTGTCTTGCACCGATTGTGTATTGGAGACAGTTCAGTATACGACTCCGCACACCGTTGCTCCTCCCCGCTCGCCCGGCCCGGTTTGTCAGCAGTGCCGACTGACTGACGCGTCCCAGCCGGTCTGACGGGACTGATGGCCGCAGTCGTCACCGCTGAGTCATCAGCACGGCAGGCGGCAGATGCACGCTGCACGCTGGTGACACGAAGCGGTAGAGGGCTGGTCTTCCTCACTTGGCAGCGCTGCACGCATCGCACACCGGTCCTTGATGTCGTCAGAGTCGTCTGAGATGATGGATGTTGATGTCCGATGGTAATTAAGTGAAAACGTTCCTGGCATACCTACTGGATCGAATGGTTTGCGAAACCGCTCAAATGTTGTGCCTTATGAATCGTAGGCCATGTGACACTACCAGCATGCCAAGTGGTAACGCATGCTTTGTCCGGCGATCGGCAATTATTTATTTGGTATCACCTGCAAAGAGCAATAATACCTTCTGTGTAGTTGTGTTCCGAGCGTAGCTTACTAAACCGATGTGAATTGGCTGCACTGAAGTGCACTTTGTACCTACGTATCAAACATTTACAAGCATTACTCATGCACTACCTTGGGAATAGCCCACTTTTACGCCCGCTCGTAATTCGATCATCACTGCCACGGCAGCTCTAGTGCACATTCACTCTAGGCTAGTCCTCTAGGCACTAGGCTCTAATTAGTCCATACACGCCTATTTGTCACATACCAAGTCTGTATATGTGTCCGTACATGTGGATTGTGGGTTCGCAGTGTCACATTGTGCTGCCCGAGTGTTCTGAAGCCACTCTCTGTGTCTGTTGGGCGCCTCTCCGTAGTGACAACGCGCCTGTGTGCACCCCTGACAGGGCGGAGGCCCCCACTGGCTCAGACTTTCTGTACTCGACACAGAGGTTGGCCCTGATGAGTTCGAGGTACGTCTGTAAGAGTGTCCCAGTGAGATGTAGGTTTGTGCGTGTGTGTGTGTGTGTGCGAGGGCCTGCCTGGTAGGTGGTGGTGGCGCCGTCAGTTCGGGTCAGGTCAGGTCAGATCTGTCGGCTGCAGTATGGTCTACAAACCCTTCTGAATGAACTATCTCTTCAGCGGCTAGTCAATAACTCATAACACTTATCACGCACAATCCATCCCAGTGCCTCAGCTACTCATAGTACTGAGCGAGGTGGTGGCCAACCCGCCTGAGCTAAGGCTTGCCACCGCAGATGATAGTTCACCTAACCACGGTAACCAGATGCACGCAGCACTGCCCGCTTAATGTGTGACAAAACCCCCAATGTCGCCGCTCACTGTGTGCCAAACTGTTACATATCTCTGCTGGCGGTGTGACAAACCAATCCACGTGTCTTTCCGCCGTGTATTCAAATCACCCGTTTTGGTGTTACTGTCCGCCGGGTGCTGAACTACCTCGGTATATTTGCCTGCGGACCCCGTCTCGCCTATATATCAAGGTTCTTTCCTCTGTCCTTGTTCGCACGTTGGCGACATGTTTTCACGACTTGCCCGACTGGGTACCACACTGCTCTCAGACATCGAAGCTATAGGGTATTTCTCACGGTCCCATGCTTTGTCTCTGTATCATAAAGGATTCCTCTTCTGGCGCGGGACGCATTGACGCCCGCTAACACAGCCTGTCTGCAGTACTGCTCTCGATCCTCCGTCCTCCCCATTGCATACCATTACAGATAGCCACCATTACAGCGTACCGCCGTACAGCTCCGGCACGGTGGTAACCGTGGGTGGCTGACACTCTCTAGTCGCCTCGCCCATGCACAACTAATGCACCTTACGTGGAGCTCCCTTTTCAAACTGCACCACCACTTGTCGACCACTTGTCGATTTGGCGTTCCACGACAAATCGACAAGTGCCCTGCACCCTCATATTTTATTTTTTGCTTAAAATTGATCTAATGGGTTGTGATGGGCGGGGAAGCCAGCTGTGGCAAGTATTTTTTTCTTCGAACAACGGTTTCCGAGATATAGCCTCGGGCAATTCTTGGAGTTCGCGCTGCAGCCCTATCTTTGGCGGCCTATAACTCAGAAACTATTGGTTTTTTTACGATAAAAACTTCATATGGTTCAACTCACAATCAACCAACAAACATTTTGGCTATCTCGGATTTTCAATTTTTGAAAATTTTGATCACGTGACCTTTTGTCCTATTTTTCGAAGAGTGACCTTGATATTTTCCCCACTGAAAGTTGCAGTTTTGTCTGATGACGATTAAAGCCTTATCAATTGTCATTCATATGCGATAATAAAAAGTGGTTATCGCCCTGCGTTGACCTCAGGTCAGGTCATTTTTATGACCTGTCCATTATTACGAGCGGGAGCGACAGCGAGATCTCGAGAATAAAGCAAGATAGCGACAAGCGGTAAACGGTAAAGGGTACACACGGATAAGGTCTATAATTTTTACTGAGATCATTTTCAGGTCAGGTTAAAGATGACGTCACAGGAGCTAAAAGGAAGTCAAAATAGCGGCACTCTACATATATATGAAGTTTTCTCGAATAACTTTCAATGTATCCCAGCTAGGAACAAACTAATAGCACCATCGTGATCCTCTCGTCGATCCGCATCGAAACATACGTATGTTGACCTCGAAAGGTCGAAAGGTCAAAAGTTGACCTTAGGTCACGTGATCTAAGGTCAACTTTTGACCTTTCGACCTTTCGAGGTCAACATACATATGTTTCGATGCGGATCGACGAGAGGATCACGATGGTGCTATTAGTTTGTTCTTAGCTGGGATACCTTGAAAGTTATTCGAGAAAAACTTCATATATATGTATAGTGCCGCTATTTTGACTTCCTTTTAGCTCCTGTGACGTCATCTTTGACCTGACCTGAAAATGACCTCAGTAAAAATTATAGACCTTATCCGTGTGCACCCTTTACCGTTTACCGCTTGTCGCTATCTTGCTTTATTCTCGAGATCTCGCTGTCGCTCCCGCTCGTAATAATGGACAGGTCATAAAAATGACCTGACCTGAGGTCAACGCAGAGCGATAACCACTTTTTTATTATCGCATATGAATGACAATCGATAAGGCTTTAATCGTCATCAGACAAAATTGCAACTTTCAGTGGGGAAAATATCAAGGTCACTCTTCGAAAAATAGGACAAAAGGTCACGTGATCAAAATTTTCAAAAATTGAAAATCCGAGATAGCCAAAATGTTTGTTGGTTGATTGTGAGTTGAACCATATAAAGTTTTTATCGTAAAAAAACAATAGTTTCTGAGTTATAGGCCGCCAAACATAGGGCTGCAGCGCGAACTCCAGGAATTGCCCGAGGCTATATCTCGGAAACCGTTGTTCGAAGAAAAAAATCCTTTCCACAGCTGGCTTCCCCGCCCATCACAACCCCTTACGCCAGTTTTCAACGAAGAATAAAATATGAGGGTGCAAATTTAATTTTTTATTTGTCGATTTGTCGTGGAACCGTGATGACCACCGTGATGACCGGTATATAAATGTAACAGATATGACGACCTCTCTAATCGGTATTGTCTCGAGTTACTCACCGCTGCTGTGCATAACTGGCCCGTCAATCCGCGGTCCCTAGTGCATGTCACTGACTTATCTCACATGCACACTGCACAATGCACATATTGTACTTACACCTACAGATTCCTACTTGATGGCGTTTGTACCCGATGCTTAGCAATGATATGTGATAGCGATAGTGTTGTGCATTGTCATGTCTGATAGTGAATGACACTTTTCAGCTCGATGATAATCTTTATTTCTCCCGCAATGCCCTTCTTCATTTATGTTTGTCTACTTTCTGCCTGTTTTGTTTTGTCTTCAATTTGTTCTGTCTTCAACACGTACCAGCTGTGCACCCTTTACTTCTGACGCTGTTCTCAGTGTGTCCGCCAGCACAACCCTCTAACGCGGGGGTCCCTGAACTTTCAGATTCATAGCCCGAACGAACAAGAACAATCTGAGGTAGCGTGTGCACTGGACGGTGCCCCGTACCTCCGCTGGGCAATGGTAGTCTGTATTTGAATCGTCCACCAAGGGGTCGTCGTCCCGTCCCGAGTTTGGGCTTGTCTCACCGTGTGAGTGAGAAAGAATGGCCGAATCACACCGCACAATTCCAGATGTCTAGCGTTGGTCTAGCTTTTTTTTAGACTGGCTCACGGACGACGCAATGTAATCTCGGAACTTCTGGCTTTATGGAACTAGGCTCGTCTGGAAGTGCGGTGTTATTGGCAATTCGTCTCTCACTTACATGGGCGCTGTCTAACCGTCTACACCTCGTGAATATACCGGGAACACAGATAGAACGAACAAATGAAAATGGATGATATTGTGAAATACGCCCTGTAGTCTATGAAATGGAGCGATGAAGTCCCGCCCCATTGTTTCATAATTTCATAAACTAGAAGCAGCATTCCTTTTCTTATCTGGCATTCTATATATCCACAACCCTCCCACATTTACCCTTCACACTTCTGCATTCTATGATTGACCATGTCTTGACTGCCGGGGGAGAGTGGCTTGCCGCTGCTTTCTGTCTCTGCGGCCGGGCGCGTGGGCCGGTGTCTAAGGTCCCCCGGCCGCCCGTCTGCCTGCCTGTCTGCTCCCCTGTGCTGTCTGGAAGGCGACGGGCAGTGGTGTGGACCTATGGCCGGTGCTGGAGCATGCCACTCCCAGCCCGGGTGGGGTCCAGAACGCGCCTCTCAACTAGACTCAGTCACTCGACTGTCCCAATCGTCAGTAGTCGCAGATGTTTTTGGCTCGATGTTTTCGATTGTTTATTTCTTAGATGACTTCAGTTCAGTAGCTCATTAGCGCTTTGTTTACGAATAGTTTGGATGGAAAAATAAACTTACATGGAATCCTGTCGGTAACCTAACACTGCGGCGTATGTTTGAACTTCCGACTAGCAAAAAAATGATCAGGAATTCCTCCATCACTGTTCGGAATTCTCTTGCTTTGACTGACGATCGGAGCAGATCAACTGACGAAGTAGCTGAGAGCGCGAGACACCCCCGGAGCCCCGACCCCCGTGAATGGCTGACCGTCCCGTGGCTGACCCGCGCCTGCCCGCCGCTGGTGTGTCCGTCTGCAGCGTGCACGTGCATGTGGCCCGCCGCCGGCCGGCGCTGTGCTGTGCTGTGTAGTGCCGTCCTACCGGGCCACTGCACCGTGTCCGTCGAGACTGACCCGGCGCCTGGTCGGGTCAGGTGAAGGTGAGGTGAGGGAGGTGAGGTTAAGGCGAGGTGAAAGGAGGTGAGGACTGAGGGGATCAGTGGTGGTTACTGGTGGGGTTGGACTGGTGACCGGTGGGTGATTGGTGGTGGTGGCCGGGGCCGGAGTAATTGCTGGGACGAGCGCAGAGTTATTGTTTAGTGGTGGAAGTCACCTAATACAGATGGGCTGGTTCTGGGCTTATAATAATGATTAATGACGAATGTCGAATGCAGCAACTTTTGCCGCAGCTGGGTTTGGACGGCGCGGCGGTGCGTCGCATTGCGATTGGAGATTCGTTAGGTTATCATCCTCTTTAGCAAGACACTGGAACGACCTTCCTTTGGCCCTTCTTGTTTGTGTGGCATACATTGTGTGTTACGTGTCTGACGCGGCGCGTTGTGTCCCAGGTCACCGGAGTGGTCCAAGATCAGCGAGTCCGAGCGGGAAAAGATCGGCCTGACGTTCGACAACGACGGAGAATTCTGGTGAGTGATCAGCGACCGGGTTAACGTTTGATGAGCCCGTTTTTTAATGAGCAAACTTATGTCTGAGATTGAACAATCCATCGTAAGCTCAGCAAACAGAACTTCGCTAATGCATGGCTGGGTCGATTCGCCTTATTTCGCCGCCTTTGTGTTTCAGGATGACGTTTGACGACTTCGTGTCCAACTTCACGGACGTCTCGGTGTGCCAGCTGATCAACACGTCCTTCTTCTCTTTCTCCAAGACGTGGAAGGAGGAGCGCGAGTTTGGCCACTGGACGCCGGGTGTGCCGGGCCGGTCGCTGGACCGCGCCGGCGGCTGCCTCAACAACCGATCCACCTTCCTCAACAACCCGCAGGTGGGGCCGCGGCTCAGTCAACGACTTACTTTATCCTTCCGTTGAATGTAGCATAATGCGACTCCTCAGTGATGAGGTGTTCACTGTTACATGGTGTTGACGCGACGCTGTAACCACTGTTCTTTTTTTCACCGTGAGCTCTGGAAGTCACTACCCTAGCGTCGATCGCTGAAGTCATGTGATTGATGACTGACGCTTCGTTGTGTTTTTTTTTTTTCAGTACCGTTTCGACGTGGATGAGGAAGTGGAGGAGGTCATTGTTCAGCTGAGTCAGAAGGACCAGCGGGAGAAGAAGCACGAGGGCGCGCTCAATCTCTGCATCGGCTTCCACATCATGAAGGTCGGTCTGCTAGCTGGTCGCGGGCGAGCAACTTCTAGCTCTATTCGGCCGTTAAATCGAGCGTAAAATTAAAGCTAAATGTAGTTGAAAAATAGTAATCTAACCTGTAGATTGTATGGGAAATGTAGTGTTGGGAAATGTAGTGGAAGGCTTACTACAGCCTTCTTATGCACATGAGGTGATTTTTCAATGTTTCGTAAGATCTGACTGCTACATCGATTGTCATTTGTTACACGTTTGAGCTATTCCATAGTCATGGTCTGCCGCGTTATCTGAACTCCATTGCTCAATGACCCATATTATTTGCACTCTCCACTTTGTTCCCCGTACCGCGTTGGGTGACGCCCCTCCCTTCTCCCACCGGTACCTCAGGTGGAGGTGAACCGTCAGTACCGGGTGCACCGGATCCAGGAGTCGGCCGCCACCTCCGACTACATACGGTCGCGGAGTATCTTCTGGCGCGATCAGCTGTCGCGCGGCCGCTACGTGCTCGTACCCACCACGTTCTCACCGGGCGAGAACGGAGACTTCATGCTGCGGCTGTTCATGGGCAGCGATCCCCAGCTCAGGTCAGTGTTGGCTCTTCGCATCTGGACATCATTTGTCTACGATTGTCTAATCATGGTTGCTTGTTTCTTGGGACTTAGTGGCTGGCCGGAGTATTAACTTTTGACAGTCAATCACAGCTGCAGCTTCGTCTCTGCAAAACTGTCCATTCCATTCACTTAACATGGGACACAGCAGGACCCTAATCAGTGAGAGACGTTCATCGCACCGACAACTGCTAGCCTGATCGGGTCATATTGACTTCGTAACCGCCCTCTGTTGCCTCTGTCCAACGCGCCTGACTTGCAAATGCTGCCGCCACTTAACCAACGTCACTTGACTTGTAACCTGACCTGACCGCCTCCGCTCTGTGTTATAGGGAGCTGGTGAAGGAGCAGCCCAAGCCCAGCTGCTGGCCTTGTATCACCCCCGCCAACGGAGTGGTGGTCGTCAAAGTAGTCAGCGGCACCGGACTCGAGAAACAGGACTCGCTCGGCTGTGAGTGCAGTCACCGCGCACCCAGCGCTGGCCGGGGGGCTTTCGGTAGCGGCGTACTGCACCAGTACGGGGGAATCTGGATTCTTTTGATGATTAATCTTATTAAACAAATTAAATATCCGAAACTATCTTTGAATATTGGTAAACTGTTGTTCGTAAGCAATCAAATTTGATGTTGGCTGGCATTTTAAGTCGTGATAAACGTTTAACTCTTATTTAAAATGATAGGTTTCCATTTTATTACTTCAAACGAGCTGAACGCACTTTTTGTCGATGTAAGGTCTTCTATCAGCGACCAGCCAGGTTGCACTTAGCAATGGCGTTATAATTGTGACGCATCCCTGGTGTAGGTAGGCGCCATGGCCATTGGTAACCGGTTGCGACAGTATTTGACCCGTCCCGTGACCCCTTACATCGACCAGCGGCCGACCCGTACGTGATTATCCGCTGCGGGAAGACGAAGGTGCGCTCCCCTCCCGTCAAAGAGTCGCTCAACCCCACCTGGAACTGCAAGGCCATCTTCTACCGAACCGGCCTGACGCCCATCAAAATACAGGTACATGTGTGACTGTGGCTGTGCAATAAGCTGTTAGCTAAGCTTCCTGTTCCAATAATCAGTTTTAGATACCACTAGCCTTGAGAACTCTGGGAATAGGTTCATATCTGTTTAATATCACTTGACTCTTAATCTCTGATAGAAATTTTCGGCTGACGTATGGATGAACTTGCTTTGTCTGCGCAGTGGGCGCTGCCAAGCATTTGAGCGTGCCATCCGTTGACATACCCCGCGTTCTGCTCTAACTTATCTGCAGGTATGGAACAGCTGCCTGCTCAAGGACAAGTTCATGGGCCAGGCCACTCTGCGGGCGGATAACTCTCCTGGTAACGTGACCGAGTTCGAGCTGAACCTGTTCGGAAAGACGCGGGCGGAGGCCAACGAGCGGCGGCCGGGAAAACTGACAGTGGAGGTGGTGGCGGACGCCGACATGGCGGCGGTCTGAGGTGGGATCACTGGGGAGGAGATACTGCCGAGGCGGAACTGGGGTGTGGCGTCACAACTGGTCGGGGTTCGGGAGTCACTGGAGAGGTCACACTGAACACCGGTGGAAGGATTGCATTCACCGGAGCGACATCTACATCTGTACACCAGCGGGTGAATGGTGCTGGAAGGGTGTCTCATCGACTGGAAGAGAACTCATTGCCGCCGGGCGGTGCAACTCAGCGCCCCGGTGATGGCAGTGTTGTGACGTGAGGTCGCGCGCAGTCGGGGTTCGGGTGTGGATTTATGCGGCTCAGTGCGTGCTCTACAAGACTGCTTGTGCCTTGCCACAAAATACTGCTGCCTTTTGGCTCTAGTGTGACGTGCTGTATTTTATCTATTGAAGTGTTTTATGCGTGTTCGGAGTGGGTTTGTTCAGTGGCAATGGTGATTTATGCGGTTTATATAGCTAGTATATAGAACTTTTGGAGCTTTTCAATCATGACTCAGCACATTTACACATGTGTGAACTTATCGCTAGTTCGCAGTTGACTGTCGTGTTTATTGCTATCCGTAGATCATCGCTATGGAACGGTTGTGTGCAGACCAAACTATTCGCCCTCTAATTCGTGACACATCGCTCGTCAGAGGTGTTTGCGGGTCCTCTTTAAGTATTTGCACACGAGGCTGCGTTTGCCAAACTGTCTTGTGATCTTAGCTAGGACTTGTGGCTGGAATGGAATGGAAGTTGTCATTCTATATGGGCGATACCGATTTTAAACATAGTGGCGTATTTTACCTCGCCTGGCTTTATATGAAAATAGAGTGGCAATGAACATCCACATTTCATATTATCCCCAATCGCGTATAGTTATTACGGGGACCCTTATCCACATCTGAGTGAGCTCTTAGTCTATTTGACTCTTTAGTGCCGTGAGTGAGTTTTGATCTGCAGTTTTCTTTAGAACCTGATGTTTTTTTTTCGCGTGCGCTGCTTTGTGTCCGTAGATGTTTACCACTCCACATTTGGTGCCAGCGGTAAATGCTGGTTTTGCCATTTGTACCGCCGTAATCTTATTCTTCACGAATACTTATGAGCTACTCGGCCAGAGATCGTAACATTTGACTGTTCTACAATTATTAGCCACTTACCACTTTACCTACGCTACGCTCTGTATCACCAGATTCAGATCTCAGTCCTTTATGGCCGCTGTCGGCCCTTTGCTGTGCTGTCCTGTCGTGTTGCCGTGCACTGCTGGCCGCTGTGCGCCTTTATTCACTCTCTCTGGGAATCATAGCGCGCCCGCGGCTCAGAGCTCAGAGCTCAGAGCGGTAGTTTTATACCGCCCGGCGCGGCGAGACGCGAGTGTGATCATGGCAGTGTGTTGCAGGTGCTTTGCGGGAATGTTTATTTACATAATAAAGCCGCCGTGTGCCACTGTGGACGGACGTTTTCCTCACAGATTACAGACGTACACCATAAAGATCGTAATGAGTAATGACTCGCATCGATCGAAAATTAATCGTGCCCTGCGCGGCAGTGGCAGAAAACCCGCCGAGCAGGCAGACCTCGCCTGTGCGAAGCGCTCGAAACTATTAGTAAAGTAATCTTGCTCGAAAGAGACGTAACAGTGGACTGGGGAAAACCCAAAGCACGAGCGCGCCATTATCTGTTCTCTTTATTGTTATGCATAAAACTAGCTTGTTTGTAAGGTAAACGAACCCCCTTACGAGCTACTAACTGGCATATCTTACCTCCAAAAAGGCAAACAGAACGCTGAAAATGCCGTCTCGGCATTGCTCTTCAAGGCGTTGAGCATTAAGCATGTTCACCTAGCACCGCAGCTGGGGTAACAAGACGATAAACTGGCACTTCGTCTGCCTTGAATGCTCCAGGTTCAGATAGCCTTCACTACTACCGCGGGCCTCATTGCCAAATCCATACGAAGTCCTGAATCACTGTCTTTAGCGAACCTTTCAATGTCACTCGCTCTTCAATGCCGTGATGTCAGAACCTAAAAGGGAAAATTTTCACCGGCTTTTGCAAACACCTAAACGCCCGCGACCAACGATAGGATGTTGCATCTCTCACTGCACTAGGCTTTAGATCAGGATCAGGAACCAGGGACACTCAGGCCAAAGCTCACGTAGTTACCATGCATGTGCCTTCCGTTAAACCATTCCCCAATGCCCAATGACTGATTTCATCTCTCATTTGCGCACATCTGTTACTTATATTACAATAAACAGAATGTACGACCAACTACTAAATTTAATACTCAGTATAAATCAGCTAATACGTAACAAAATTGGGAGGGGCCATTCGCACACGCGCGCACTCATGCACGCTCACGCTCGCCTACGCGAGCATTCGGCTCACTGCAGACCACTCGCCTCATAAAAATTACACGATGCCTCTCCTCACAGACAGTGGCAGCGAGACGAAGCCTAGCGTCCGGCCCGCACCTCAGCAGAGCCGGTCAGTTCAGGTCGCCGGCTCTCGCCCCGACCTAGACCGCAGTGCCGGCGGCGACCGCAGCTAAAACGAAGCTGCCTCTCGTTAAAATCACTCATCCGACCAACGCCAGCAATCTGATGCACAGTTCAGGAGGGACAGAGTCAGAAGAAAATACGCATAGTTATGCCAGAAGGCACTTGTAATGAAAGGAGCAAATCATCCCTGGTTGCGATCACAGAATCGGCCCCGAAGAATGAGACAGAAACCAACAGCAAAGTGTAGCAAAAGTAACGGACAACGAAGACATTGAAGTTCAACAATTTACATGATTTGATCAGAACAACATATGACCATTTCACCGCGAGGGTGAAAAAGAACTGCAGGGTTTGCTTTGAGCACTTGTTAAAGCTCAGGCAATATCAACAAGCGCGCAGCGAGGACAGACGGGTGGCTCGCACCAGGGTCGGACTCGGACCGGACCGGGCCGGAACGGGCGACGGCCCTCACTTTGGCACTGGTCGGCGCGGCAGCGGCGGCACGGCAGCCGGACGGAGGTCCATGTCGGCCTCACCGGACCGCGGCGCCGGGCGCCCGGAACGCGCCGATAGCCGCACTGCAGGACGCACCGCGAGACGCAAGGGGGCGCACCGGGCGGGACGCATAGTCCGCCGGCCGCCCGTTCGGTGTCTGTGCGGCGCGCGGGGCAGCGGCTCGGCGCGGAGTCCCTGGCCGCCCGCTATCACTGCACAGGTCACTGGCGGCGTCACTGTCACTGGGTCACTCGTCACTCGGTCGAGAGGTCTTTGAGCAGCGCTGATCGCGCGTTTTTCAGCTTGTCTAGCCGCTTCTGGAGGTGGCTGTTGGTGGTTTCCAGCTCGTCCACTCGAGTTATTGATTCCCGGAGCTGGGGAAACAAACAAAGCGTTACACACTCATTCCACATTCAGCATGCCGATTGCCGACACGCTACACAGACACCTCGGCGGCTTTGTAACTTTGAGACGTTTAGAGTAACGGAATTAAAGCCAAAGGCACACGACAACTGAACATTTTTAGATTCAAACCCGTTGTTGGCATAACCTGATAAAGCGATATGAAAGCACGCCACACCAAAGCAGCGATCAACACAGGACCCCCGGCGGAGACCGTGGTATGAAGCAGACACGTCGTCTACAGAGTAGCATCTGTTGGAGGCCATGACAGCGACAAGAACAACACAGGCATTGGACCAAAGCCTCACGATTCATGGCACTGCCTGAAAACTGAGAATGGTTAACCGAAATACGTTCAGGAGCTTGAGCTACGCCTTACACATGGTCACTGCACTCGGTGAATTCGCTAACTACTTAAATCAGACCTGCGGCTAAAAAAACAATCGTTTCATTGAGGCTCCTTCTGTCTTGCTCATTAGCTTTGACGGCTGTCTTCAGACCAGTGTTATGTCTAAAGCTAGCTAGGGCCACTCCATCTACATCTCAGTAACACACCACTCGGGTCAAACCCTACAGCACGCCCCGTCTGTAGCTGGTGTAAGCCTCGCGGAGGTAGCTGGAACGGACATCGCACGGCAGACAAATCACGCTAACTAGGCAGCTTCACACTAACACACGGACCAAACGCGCGGGTCAGCACGGGACTGCAGGCACCAAGCGTCGGGTCGGGTCACGCTGCCGTAACGGTCACGGCGTCACACACACCCAGTCACCGTGTGACGGCGGCTAGAGCCGGCGCAGCCGCTGCTGGCGCTCCATCGTCTTCTTGGCACTGTCCAGCTCGTCCACCTGCTGCTGAGCCTCGCGCAGCTGGCCGCGACACACACACAGATATGACACGCCGTACGATCGGACATGGTACCGGACCCAGCCAACACCCATACGGCCCCATCCACCGGGCACCAGTCCCAGTCAACAGGCATACGACCCCAATACGACCAACAAGACTCCAGTCTCAGCCACCAGTCAGTCATACTGACCCAGTAATTGCTCTTATCCCCGGCGTCAAGTCATACGGCACCAATACGACCATCAGGTTCCCGCCACCTCACCACCACCAATCATGCACCAGTCCGACACACCATCCAACACAGCCGCTCAGTTCCACCAAGCAAGGCACCAGTTCCCGCCATTAACAGTTCTCGCCTTTTAGTCTCACCACTGCAGACGGAACCACGACATGGTACCAATACCCGGAGCAAACAAGACAGTTTCCCCACTCACCATTCGTGCGGTCCCACCAGCCCCTCATCAGTTATAGGTAACTGTGCCGGACAGAATATTGCTCCTGTCAGCCTCACTTTTCCACCATCCAGCCCCATCGCGCCTCCCCATGCCATATTCGTAACCCAAAACTCTCAATATATTCTGCACCCATCACCACACCGCACCCACACCCACCAGACTACTCCCCACACACGGGCGTCGTCCGTACCTCTCTCTGCAGTTTGCGCTTCTCTCCTTTGAGCTCCTCCTCTGCCTTTTCGGCCGTCTCGGCGGCCGCCTTGTAACGCGCCACCTGATTCTCTAGCCGCTGTACCTGCAGAGGGAACGCGGCGAGCGGTCAGCCGAGCGGCCGGACTGGATGGAAAGGTAAGGGCCAGCACGCAGCAAATGGGGAGGGCAGACGTACAGGGGAAGCTAACAATAGCAGGGCTTGAGGCGGTGGCTAATTGCGGGTACACGGACAGAAGCGGAGACACGCCACCACGAGACTGGAAGCTAAAAAGGAGCATAACAAGAAGTCAGCTGATCTGACGTCTTGTTAATCCAAGCACAGTTCTGCTGAAAACAAATTTCTAGTTGGATCACACAGTGATGATCTGGCTGGCGCCTGTCAGTCGACTCTCCCTCTTTCCAAGAGCAACTTCACTGGCCTGCACTCGCTTTCGAACGTTACACCGGTCACTCACCGCCGTCTGCAGGTTGGTGATGTCCTGGTCGGCCTTCTGCAGCTTGAACCGGTACTCGCCCACCTGGCGGGCCACCTCGCGCTGCACCTGGTCAGACTCGGCGCCGCCGCCGGAGCCGGAGATGCGCGCGCGGGCGCTCATGTGCCGCTCCTCCTCGAGCTCCAGTTTCATTCGGCGCAGCTGGTCCTCCAGCTCGTTCTTCTCCTCACCCAGCCGCCGCAGCCGGCTGTCTGTGATGGTCAGAAGGACCGTCAGATGTTTCCTAGTCGAGATCTGAATGAAGGGCGAATAAATGCTTTCCCAGTGACCGCCACCAGCTCCGCATGCTGCGGCTACTCGCTGGTATTCGGTGATACATAACATTTCCCGTCCACACAATCTACAGTTTCAAGCCCCGCCACTACTTCTTCCTGTCTAGAGCCCTCCTATTCCTCCCTGTGTGCTTAATGTACACTTAGACTGCCTGCGTAGCACGCTGTCCCTTACTAGTTTCCACGTACCGAGTGTGCCGCCGCCGGCCTTCTCGAGCAGCTGGGCGGCGTTCTGTGAGACGAGCGCCTTCTGCGGCCGCTGTGTGTCCGGAGACGACTCTGACTCCGAGTCCTCCTCGTCACCGACCAGCACCAGGCCGTTCTCCTGAGAGTCAGAGTCACAGTCAGAGTCAGTACAGAGTCAGGGTCGGAAGTCAGAGACACACCAGCACCAAGCCGTTCTGGGAGTCAGGATGAGTCTGCTAGCCAGCGTCAAACTGTTCCCTCCAGGCAACAAAATTATCTCAGTGAAAGTCGTGCTGGTATCATTCACCAATAATCCGTCAATTAACTTTTTCAATTCAGCAGTCGTGAAGTCTGTTGCAGTGACTGAGCGCAGCAAGCAATTCAATCCATTGTGTCAACAACAAAAGGGAGCAATTCATACATAAGTTAACGACTAGAACATTGTGACAGATGGAGGTAATGCGACAGGACCTCGCACAGAACGCAGTGCGACGGTACACTTCACATGTAACTAAGGCACTACGAACAATGTTCCAACAAACAAAGAATCTTGTTTGAGGTTCACTCTTCAGTTCACCTACATGCAGTATAAACCAGTAACTAATCACGATTTGTCAGAACACCGACATCCACTTACCGCAATAAGTTTGTCTCGTTCTTCCAGTAGCTTTTTACAGCACTCATAATCCTCCTTTAGCCTATTCGATACCCGTTTTAGCTGTTCGTGTTCGCTACATCGTGTTCGGTGCTCCCGCTGTGGGAAAGAGAGCACAGATTAGTACGTGGCTGGAGCCTTATGAGTAGTAAGTACAAAGACAACACGTTAGATGGGTGCTTCTGCTTACTTACAGTCCTTTTTGACGCCATAATGCACTTTCAAGAACAAAGAGCAAACAAAATATCATAGCAAACTCAAAATAAGAGGCACTGACAACAAGGATCACAGATACAATGTCCTGACCAGAGCAATGCATTGTCCACCCATTAACAATATGTGGTTTCAGCATTACCACCTTCCTACTGCAATTAATGAGCTAATCGCAGGTGTCAGCAGCTTCCAGCGCCCACCAGGCCCGCCCTGGACGTCACCTGCAGCTGTGTATGGGACTCCTGCATCTCCTCCAGCTTGTCCTTGAGCAGCTCCACCTGGTAGCTCAGCGTCGACTTGTCGTTGTCCAGCTGCGCAGACGTCACCATCGTCTTCCGCAGCTTCTCCTCCAGCTCACGCAGCTCATGCTGAAGAGGAACGGACACAAAGCGGTCAGCTCGGTGGCGGCGAACCATACCGGCATACTCTATAGGCATACTTGGCATGCCTATTGCCTACCATAGCGATCGGTATGACACTCTGGCACACATCACATGACAAAAGAACTCTCCACTCAGCTCTCCGCTCAGCTCACCTCACCAAAGGTTTGAGGTTTACAGTTGCTTAACCAGAACCTATATACGCTTAGATCAGTCTCACCCTGAGCCCCACCACAAACCCCCTCCCCGTCATAGGCAGAGTCTCGTCCCAGGTACCCCGCCGTCCCACTGACCCGCACGTCTCGCAGGTGGAAACTGCCGGAGGGCGTGGAGGTGCCGTCCTCTGCCGAATCCTCGCTGGCCCTCCGACCGCTGGAGGCGGCACTGGGTCCGCGCGGGGCTCGAGCGGAGGCGACCGACAGCGCGGGCCGTGGAGACACATCTGAGGGAGAAGAGCAGAGACATGGTCAGACTGACCACGGAGACACATCTGAGGAGCACATACATATGGTTAGAGATGGCCGACAGCCGCGGCCATCTCTAACCATGTCTCTGCTCTCTTCTGCGGAGCAGAAGAGAGCAGAGACATGGTTAGAGACGGTCGACGGTGCGGGGCGCGGAGACATATCTGAGGGGGAAGGGGCAGAGACGTGGTCATTGGTCACGGAAAGTGACAGTGCAGGCCGCGGAGACGGACACATCTGATGTGCAGAGGAGCACATAGACGGCTACAGAGACAGTCAGTCAGAGACGGCTGCAGCCTGGAGAGCAATGACAGGAAGCACAACTCACAAGCAGAAAGAGCACAAGAGTCAAGGACCATGGTCACAATAAGTCGCGCACTAGACAGAACTAGACAGAACTAGACATAGGCACTAGACAGAACAGTTAAAACGGCCATTCACAACACTAAAAAAAAAAAAAATGCGGCTGTAATATGATGTGCCTGTAAAGACGAGCAAAATATAGCTTGCATTCATTGCGGACTGAAGACAAAAAGACGGTCTCACCGGATTTTGTTTAGCTCACTTACCAAATTGGGCCTCAGCCTCTATGCCAGCTGCATATCCACGTTTATGCAAGACCACAAGTGCGACATATGCCGTCACAACCCAGCGCATAACGCAGAACAGCGACGGTTGTGCGTCGTGCGGCCTGCTCCGTCAAAAGCGGACGACTCACAGCTGGGCCTGTGTCACCGCTAATACAGCACTATCGGCGATACATGGGGCGGAAACCCACAGCACGCGCGGTTGGGCCAGGTCGGGAACACTTGCAGCGTATAGGGATAACGGGCGGGAGATCAACCCACCGACTAAGACAGAGAGAGGCCAATGGCTGGCAACAGACATCTAATACGACGGCGAGGACGGCAAACGGCTTATCTATAAGCTCAAGTTTCAGTATCGAGCTCAGGCAGAAGCAGGTACAATTCTGGGGCTTCCCAAAAGCAATGCGATAGTCATCGAATGAAATAAAGGAGCAACCCAGTAACCACTATACCAAAAACATTCATTTTTCGTACATTCCACAGCCCATATTGCCTTCCAAAGAAAACGCATTTCAAGTCACGAATGGAGGCTTTAAGGAGAACCGAGTGCGTCCCGGTATGGTTTCCGGCTCTGTAGCTTTGGCGACAGGCCTGAGAAGTAGCTGCCGGTTATCGTTCAGACCTTCCCAATGGCGCATGCCTGAGGACGCCATCGGTAATGAGACGGGTAGCCACCAATAGCGCCAATAGCCAGCCCCTTCCAAGACCTCTATTACAGCCGAGCGGTTAGGTATCCCCAAGAGCCCTCTGTTTATCGCCGGCTTCCAGCCATGCGGGCTGAGCGGAGCTCTTTGGCTGCCTGGCAGCGGCGCCGGGCCGGACCGCTCTCTGGCACGGAGCCACGGCGGCGGTTTTTATCGGTTGGTGATTCTCCGCGGCATCTGCACACGGACGGAGTGCGGCCGGCTCGGGCTGATCAGCGGTACGGGGTGGAAGGAGACGCAGCGCGGCCGACAGCGACTGATCACCGGGCGACGGACGACCGGCGGGGAGCCAGACTGTGGGCCACAACACCGAGGAGGGGGATTCGGAGGCCACATCCTTCTCCGCTCTATTTGATCGGAACATCCCTGTGCTGCTCAATTATACTGTCAACTGTCACCTGACAATGAATCAACCGCATAAATCATACGACTCTTCATAATCTTGTGACGTTATTGGACATCCACCGCTCCCCTCCCTGCTTTGCCAGAGGGCAGAGGTGAACGCTGCCACCGCAGAGTTCTCAGTTCAAACACATCAAAGCGTCGCCACTGGCCCGGCGTTTTAGCGGCGATATCGTCTATCTATAGCGCTGATACTGCACTATCAGATCGGCTAGGACCGCGGCGGGCCCCCGGCAGAGCGGCGGCGCGATACGAGGAACCGAGAAAATGGCCACCGACCGTCTCAGAACAACCCGAGGCCATCTTCTAGTGTTACAATTATATACTTCATTAGTGGAATGATGTGCTTAACAATGAAATATATTAAAAAGACGACGAAGGCGGAAACCACACCAGAGCATGATGAACCGCGGATAACCAGTCAGGCTTCTGAACTAGAAAAAAAACTTCCCAAATACAACAAACCTTATACTCATCAACCTTTACTTGGCCAACAAATTATAATTCATCGAACTTCAACTCTACGGCAGCTCTATAATTCGTTGCACCCAGTGACAGGGTGGAATCTGAGATCTCTCTCCATCTCTACCGGGCCAACGGCACAGCTCAACGTATGCCGCCCGACACAGCCAACCCTCGGGCACGTGCTACCAATGAGTGACAGGTCATCGAGCGACAGTGACAGGGCGCCGGATGACGGTGACAGGGCGCCGGATGACGGGCCGGTGACAGTGACTGGCACCGGGTGACGGACGTGCTCGGTCGGAGTAGCGCCGACTGCCGTTGGGGACCGCCACCGGCCAAATGACAATGAGAGGCTGGACGATGGGGGCCAGGGTCCGGTCAGACCGGAAAGCGATTACTGTGGATAGGTCAGACCGATGCTAGCGGTTATGACTCAGTCAGACTGGTCAGTGTTAGCAGCTGTCAAACAGGCCAGCCAGTCATCTGCAGCACTCTCAGACCGTCCGGAAAGAGAACGTCGTATGTGGCCCTCAGCCCTAAGGCGTGCCCGATAATAATACCTACGTTGTGTGCCCGTGGGAGGTATGGAAGCGTGTCGTCTGACGGTGCGACACCCGCCTGCCGGGACAGTCCGGACTGGACCCGGTGGGAGGGAGGCCGCGGGATGGAGATTGGACGGTGCACGGAGTACGAACACCGGTGCGGGACGGACTCCAGCCGAGCCGCAGCCGCTCCGCTCAGACTCAGACCCGTGAGAAAGCACCGGCCCGCCGCGCCGGGTCGCGATATCAGTCAGAGAGCCAGGTGAATTCGTGGCTCTGAGACGTGATGGCAGCTGAAATGCACGCTGAAAACTATCACGCTGCAAAAACGGATGACGTCACGCGGCCTCTCGGCAGATGACGTCACTGACGGGACGGACCAGCCATGGCCGGACCGGTTTGGAGCGGACGGTCCGGCTGTGAGTGTGGGCACTGGATACCGGCACCCGATATTTTCGGTACGGGTGAGTAATAGCACAGGTTACGTGAGCTACCAGCAGCGTCCTTTACGGAATACCAATGCCATTTGAAGCCGTGTAGGGCTAAAATCGATCTGTATCAACGCCCCGTATTAGATGAGGTGCTGCTGAGTTACCGTGAGCGACCATGGACCAGCGACTGCATGTTACGCGGCTACGAACCGAGCATAATGCCTGCCAGATTTAAAAAAAAAAAAAGATCAACGCAGTCAAACCACAGAAGGACAAGTGTATCTCATGCACCCATTCCATCTTCAGTCCTCACTCCTCACCCTATCTGTGACACACCTTCTACTTATCCCTGTCCATACCATCCATTCCTTCTACATTGCTCACCTGAGAAGTCGTCGAGCTTCTCGCCATTCTGTTCTGCCTCGCGCTGCTGCCGCTCCAGTTCGCGCATACGAATCTCCCGAGCCTCGGCGCGGGCCTGGCGCCGCGCAGCCAGACGCGCCTCCGACTGAAACACAGAGGGAAGGGCAGGTCAGATCAGGTCGGGTAGAACAACGAGTTTAGTTATGGGGCCAGGGCCATGAGTAGCGACAATGCTTAGATTATAGAGGTCTTGTTCAACACACATCTTATTTGTATACTGAAAAAATGCGACATAAGACAGACATTATGTGACAGACAGGACACCCGTTTGGCGAATGGGACACCCGAATAACTAGCTCACGTGGCAGGGTCACCAGCAATCACACCGTTTCACCAGCAGGTGTTCTGCCAACGGGTGTACCAAAAATCGATCGGCCTGTGACCTCGGCCTCTGTCCCGCCCCTTCCGACACGGACCGACCCTCTCCCGCGGGGACAGAGTGAGAGGGAGGGCGGGGCGGGGAGAGAGGGACGGCGGGGGCGTCCATTCATCGCCACCGTCTGACATATAACAACGCCCCGTCCCCACCAGCTTCCGTACAGACATCCGCCCGTCTCCGGCGGCCACTGGAGACACCCAGTCGTAAATCAACGGGCACAGATAGCGGAACACAACTGTGTGTCGGCAACCTCACTGTGACACTGCAGCTAGAATGTAAGTACAGAAAACGAGCGATATTCTAAGATAAGATCAGTCTCTTTTCAGTTGTTCCACTGCAAGGCGGAATCCGCCCATCCGAGTTCTCATGTAGGATGGGATAGTATAGTTGATCGCCATCCAGTGGTCCCCCGTCACCTGTGCCTTGTTACCGTGAACCGTTCAGTTGTCCCCTACCATCCCTCAGTATGTATGCCGTAAACCGCCCAGCTCCCGCTAATGACACCGGACGTAGCACCACCGTGCCGAGCCGTGCCGCTTTCATCCAACAGGAAACGACCGACCCCGACCGGAACGGACGACCGAACCCACCGACCTATAGTCCAACCAGCCGAGCGGCTGATCGAATGGTTTCGTAAGGCGTGCCGCAGCGACGTGCTATTGTGGGAAGGATTGGACGGCAAAGACCGGTCGTGCTTTATAATGGCAAGGATATCCCACCAGCAAAACTGTCTGCGTGTCCCGTCATAGTAGACATGCCCGGTCTCGCTACATACATGCTCTGGTGTGACAGACAGGTCTGTTCACTGTGTAGTGTATATCTGTAGACTCGCTATAAAGGCGCGCTGTTTCCCGGGTCCCGACCAGCCGCGCCGTTCCGTTCTGCGTGCTCCGCCACGGCAGACGTGCCCGGTCACGCCGGACGTGCCGGCGCGCTGTTTGTCGAGAGTCAGAGGTGCAAAATTCTACCAGACTCTGTCCGTGTGGCCGTCCGAACGGTAGGCCGAAAGGCACCCGGCGATGAGACGCCGCCGTCTGACCTCAGATGGTTCCATGTCTGAGCCAGTTTGGTCTGAGACTGTCATTGACTACATGTCAGTCCCGTGAGCGCCAGCTAACGTCTGGCACAGCTGCAGGGCATACCTGAGCGACACACATGAGAAGAGGTAAACCTGAGAGCTGAATGGACGGAAAGTCCGAGACTTTACCGCAGCCCGACCTAGTGTATCTGGGAGAAGGCAGCAGCAATTACAGGTGAGCCCGCAACATGCATGGAGCGTTCGCGAGCCGCGCAGATAGGTCGTTCACAGCGGCAGACAGTGACACTCGACCGCCGCTCTATCGAGGACCAATAGAGCGGTCCGGTAGCTGCGCCCTCCACCCACAGTCAACAGAGGCGCACGTCAGTCTGCTTACACAGCGCTCTATCAGTCCACGCAGAGCCGCTCATATGAGCCGCAGCGATCCACGGGCTGACGCGCCGCTGATCTGCCAGGCCGACAGACAGATCGCTACTTATTAGGGCGGCGTGGAATCTCCCCGACGTGACATAAAAATACATGATGATATGTTTGAAAAAGCTCGGGATGCCCCTTGTATGCTGGATGCGCGAAGCATGCAGTCACCGTCTGCCCTTTCCGGGTCATCTACGGGGAAGGGTCACAGGGACCATGAGAAGGTGGATGTGGACATAACGTTGGGTCGCAGCGACCATGATAAAGCAAATGTGAACAATGAACAATCATTAATGGATTCACTCATGTACGCAGTTGAACCTTGGCCATGGCAAGGCCACTTGTCGGTATCTGAAATGGCCACCTGTCTGCTGACCAATATCGATCAGGTGATGCCAGTCAGCTGACTAATGCACACGTGTAAAAGGGTGAGAGACAGCTGACAGCAACCTTTCCCGGGCGAACTTTCAAATTCACATCGCCACTCAAAAACTTGGATAGGAGTGGCAGCAAAAGAGCTGCATTGTGATGTGAGAACTGAGATCATTCCGAATTCGGTCTACGGATGGTTAAAATTACCTATGCATAAAAGTAAAGCTTCTATGTCTGGTACTGGACAAGCAGAAATTCTTGTCTGCGCCGTCGATCAGAACAAAAACTAAACTTAGCGGTCCGTCGGGACCACTGGGAGTTCTGATTCACACAATCCCACGACCGCTCCCGCCCGTTTGGTCAGCTGGACGGCCGGCTGGTCGGTCCGTGACCCCGTGCCGAGCGGTTCGTGACCCTCACCGTTACCGGTGACCTCGCCCGCAGGCAGTCCGTGTTCTTCCCACCCGTTGCGGTGACCTCATCAGACCCACCGACCGGCGGCTACTCTGTAACGCTGCTGGCTAGCAGGCCAGCCGCGAAGCGCAGCGCAAGCTATAGACGAACGGCAGTCGCCGAGACGAACGGCAGTCGCCGGGAGCGTTGGCTGCGTTCTGGCGCATTCAGCGACACATTGACGGTTCTGAGCCAATGTGGGTTATGCCGTTATGATGTAGCATAAGTAAATAATGATGTAGCCAAGGTTTGTATACTTGTACTCCTTAAAACGGTTTGCATGTAAATATTAGGGCTGACGAATAGTTGTCCGTTCCGTTTCCCGTGGCATTTAGGGAATGCTGACATAAAACGTCGAGGACGAAGCTAACGTTGAACTGAACCGGCAACCAGCGTCCACCACTATACAGCTGTCTCTATCGGACAGCTAGCAGCAGCGTGCCTCAAACTCAGCCGAACGGCATTCAAATCTCCACCGCAGAGCCCAGCAGGCACGTCCGGCGGACAGACGTGAAAATCAGAGCGTGGGAACATCGTCACTTCCCTTCTCTTTCCACGTTGGAACAAAGGCCTCATCAACATAAACACTGCCCCAGAAGGCAAAGCCAGCCACCAGTTTCTGTCGCTACTGACAACGGAGGGAGGGTTTACCCCATACATATCATTAGTCACGTCTCAATGTCGTGAGCGTATTTGCTCAATGAGACACTAACTATAATACTCGTTACCATTTCTTATAGCCCCACGAGACGACAATCATAGTGCCTTTGTTATACTGAACAATCCTAAAGGATTGTCCACTTTAGCCACCAGTTAGTCGGCCCTTCGGCGCTGACCTGTGAAGGGCGGGGGCGGGCCGTGGCGGACAGGAGACGGAAAAAAGGTCACCAGTGCGCCAGCTGCGGGACGCACAGTGCCCCAAACACTGCAGGGGGGTGACACGAACCAGGCCTGACCGCAGATGGCTGAGGGCCGACCGACCCACCACGGCCTTCGATGATTGTGGACTGGGCTACCCAGCTGGGAGACCTAGCGGCAGGCACCGGCCGATATAGCATTAGTTGCTAGTTGCTACTATGTCTGGATCAGCAGCAGCACCCACAGCTGAAGCCCGGCACACGGAGCGACGGTGCAGGGAGATTAAGAAGACTGAACCCAACTCTGGGAAGTGGGAAGTGGGCAACTCCAATGACAAATTCTTGCCACAAAGTATTGTGATCGTCTTCATTACTCAAATTGTTACCCGCTGATCTCTGACATCCCTCCCTAACTGCACGATGACAGCCCGTCTGTGCCCAGCCCCGGGCGCTCCGTGACCGTATGTTCCCTTCTGCCTGTCAGTCGCCCTCAGCGCTGACCCGGACAGTCACGCCGGCCACGTGACCCGTGACGTCACCGGCGGGTGACAGCTGCGTGACTCAGCCAGTCTGACGGCACCCACCACATGATTCATCATCGCAGACGTGTCGGCCGGCCACCCCCACGTCGGATGCACAGGAAACAGACCTCCCATTAAACTCGCCATAACTAGGCATGGAGTAAACAATTGTCTTCCAGAGAAGCGATGAATGCAGCTGAATGGTGAGCCTGCTCATCGTTGCAAAAATTCTCCCATTAAAACATGTGTGCCCATAAAGCGAATTAGCAGTCGGAAAGAAAGAAAGGTGTCGCGTCATGACTTCCGTCCATGACGCGAGTGTTATTATGTAACATCTTGACTACAAAAGGAGCTGCAACCGTTCGTCACTGTAGCATGACGGCAAGTAGCTGCAAATCGTCCCACATCACCATACCGTCACAAATATGCAACGCAACGGTCTGCTCCGTTTTCCCGGTAAATAAGAGGTGACAGGTAAGCGGAACATGGACAGTTGTTTTAATACCTGGACCGATCCAGCTCTCGGCGCTTTGAACTGGTTTAGTTATGTTAAACACTGTAAAGAATTGCTTGATGCATGCCGTCAGGTGATTTTGCAAAGCTCATGGCCACCCCGTTCTGACACTGCCAGCGCCGCCCCACCCGCATGAACCCGTATCTCCACCACCCCGCCCGACCCCGCCCCGGATGGGTGTGCCCCGCCCGACTCGTCCCACTTACGTCGGCGTGCACCTGCGACATGACCTCGAGCACGGCGTCGGGCCGCGGCGTGCCGGCCGCCTCCCCGTGGCCGCTGATGCTCCGTCTCAGCCGCGGCGGGCCGTCCAGCAGGTCCATACTGCTGCGCCGCGAGCTGACGTCCGACACCGCCGCTGACGGCGAGGTAGGCACCGCTGACGTCGAGGGCGATGTCGGAATCGCCGTCTTCGAGGGCGATAGGGTGACCTGGGGAAGAGCGGCCTCCTTCACAGCCGTCTCTTCGACTGCCGGCGATGCTGGCTGCTCGGCTGGAGGGCTGGTGACCGCCGGGGAGTCGGAGGTAGTCGAAGGCCCCGCTGCCACAGCAGGGTCTGCTGGAGCAGGAGTCGGTGCAGGAACATCAACGGTCTCCTGCTGCGTCAGCGGAGGTCGCTCGGGACCGTCCTCGATCGTTAGGTGCTGCACCAGGGGCGGCCGCAGTACCGACGTGTCCTCCAGTGTCTCCTGCTCGGTCAGCGGGGGCCGCTCAGTGGAGTCTTGGATGGTATCGTGCTGTGTCAGCGGAGGCCGGTCGGTGGACTCTTGTATTGTGTCATGCTGTGTCAGAGGTGGTCGCTCAGTTGAATCCTGTATGGTGTCATGTTGTGTCAAGGGTGGCCGGTCGGTTGAATCTTGTATGGTGTCACTCTGTGTCAAGTTGGGACGCGTCGTTGATGCGTCCTCTGCCACATCTGCTTTAGGCGCGTTTTCTATTGCTTCCGAACCTTGAAGTCGGGCCGAAGCAGCATTGGCATTTGTCTTGTCCGAGTCGGGTAGCTGTGACGATTCGGGGGAATTGCTGACTGGCTGGCCGACCACCTCAGCTGCACTGACGTTAGCAGTTTCCCCGGAGTTTCCAGCAGCCGCAGGGACATCCGAAGACGCAGAGTCCGCGGTTTCCGGTACCCGAGGAGGGCTAGTTGTAGATTGTTTCGCTTTCAAATCGTCCGCTTCTTTCTTGGCAGCTGCCTTTTTCGTTCCTGTCCCCTTGCCTTTCGCAAGCGAGACCTTTGCTTTCTTCTCCTTTTTCGTTGCTCCTGTCTGGTCAGCCACTGACGCCTTCTTTTCAGGAGCCGTCTTCGTTGCAGGAACAGCGTTGCTCTTCTTTTTCGCGGTTGGTGTAGAGGACCTTGCCGCAGGTTCGCTCTTGTCCACCTGCTGCTTGGCGCTCTTGGCCCTGGCTTTTCTAGCGGAGGAGTCCTCGCCGCGGGTGGAGACGGTGGTGGACCCGCTGGATACCGAGAGGGGCAGCGAGTCCCTTCTGTCCACAGGACTGGCGGGCGCACCCCGACCCCTATCAGCCGCAGTCGCGCCGCTCCGTTTACCGGTACGAGTCGACCGAGCGCTAGACGAGCCCACCGATGATGCTGACGCGTTGCTCTCGATGGACGCCTCCTTACAGAGCTGCGTCTTCAGCCGCGACTTGGCCGGGTTCTGGAGTGGCCGCGTCGGCGTGCTGGACCGGCTGCCGGACCCCTCAGCCGTGGGCTGTTTTGCCAGAGTGGATTTCGCCTTTGCCGGACCGTTCCTATTGGCAGCGGAATCTAACAGTTTCTTGGCTGCTTGGGATGCCAGCGACTTTTTCGCCTTGGCGGCAGAAGCCTTCGTTCCAGCTGTGAGCCGACTCGAGACTTTGGTATTGGTCTTGTTAGTTTTCAAATGTGCAGCGTCATCACTAACTGTCTGGTCGGATGGCTTGGCAGCGGCCTTTTTCACACTGTCACTGGCTTTTTCACTCGTCTGTTCAGCTGAAGCAGGCTTTAGTTCACCCTCGTCAGCCTCTTTCACAACAGCCTCCGCTACAAGACTGACTGACGTCGGCTCTTCGGGATTATTTTTCTTCTTCTTTTTGCGTTTCTTCTTTTTCTCCTTGGGCTTGCCATCCAGGTCATCGGCCGTATCTTCAGTGCCGGTTTCGAGCAGCACACCGTCACTATCCGTCACGGACGTCCCACCTGTCGTCGCCGTTTCCGGCGTCACGGTCGGCCCCTCTGTCACGCCGCTCCCACACTCTGCCTCCATCGCACACGGTCCATCCGCGGCCACCGCATCACCCGGCTCGCCCACGCCGCCCACCCGTGCACTTTCCACGGTCACACTCCCAGCGTCGGGCGCATGACGGCCGCTCTGCCCACTATTCACACTGTCCGCCTCCGCGTGCTCTCGCCGGGGCGGCTCCGGCTGCGGCGCCGGCTCGGCGGCCGGGCCCGGCCGATCCGGATGGCCGGGGCCGGTACTATCGGCCTCCGCCGCCCCGCCGCCGCCGCTCTGAAGGTCACCGGACGGCCGCTCCACAGCCGCCGGCTCCTGGCCGGTCCGCGCCGCTCCAGACGCACTCTCCTGATCCTGAGCGACTGCTGAGGGTTGTGACGGCTCCTGAGGTACTGGTGTGGCGGAATCCTGTTCCTGTGTGGGTGCAGTCGGTTCCTCGACTCCAGTCATGAGCCACTTCTCGTTGACTGCCTCCACAGTCTCCTGAGCCTCCTGGGCCGCTGCAGCTTGAAGCTCCTGCTCATCGATAGCTGCTGAGGGCTCCAGCTGCTCCTGTGGCACTCCAGTCGCAGTATCCTGCTCCTGCACACTCTCCGACGGTGACTGACCCTGCTCCTCAGTTCCAGGAGGGCTCTCCTCTCCCTGAACGGCGGTGCTCGCGGCTGAGACTGCCGACGGAGACGGCAGCTGCCCCTCACCACCGTCCTGGGTCGCGCCTCCGGCGGTCTGAGGTGAGGTGCCGTCCGGTGTCGCCTCGACCTCTGGAGGCGCTGCACCGTCGGCACCGTCCCCTGCTGCCGGCTTAGCACATTCCGGGACCGGGTCCGTGACTGGAGCGACCGGCTCCGCCCCCGCCGCGGCGCCCGCGCCGCCCGCACTCCGGTCCGGCTCGTGGACGTCCACCAGCACGCCGCTGTCCACAGAGGTTAGTGACGCGTGCTCGCCGGGCTCGACAGCCGCCGGCGACGGTGACGCCGGCGGAGCGGCCTCGCCCGCACTCTCCTGCTCGGCCCCCGCATCGTGCTTGAAGGCGTGCGCAACCCGAGAGAAGATTTTCTTCATGTTGCGCGGCTGGGTGGCTGCGCGGACCACCCAGGTGCAGTGAGACGGACGGTCGCGAAAGACGCACACACTGACGCTGGCACCGGCCTCCGCCGAGTCGGGCGCGGTCTGCGTTTTTTACAGCACCCCGCCGGGTGAGCACTGACACACCTTTTTGCACGGCGCACCGCACTGCACCGCGCACCCCGCCGACGCCCGGCGTCACACTCACTCGGGACACCGGCCGTCCCGTGTCAGCTTTGGTCACAATCGCGGCGGCACTGAACGGCGCCTCCTCCCACGCGCGGCGCCGGCTGGCCGCCCAGCTGTCCGCCGCCGGCCGCGTCACGCCTCTCACTGGTCCGGCCGCGGCACTGGCGGCGCGGCAGAGCGCGCCACACTCGCCGCGTGGCGCCGCCACCAGGCGAGCCGCCGCGCCAGCCCCGCCTGTGTTAGCACACGCGCGCTCGCAGACAGACAGACACACAGACAGACGCACGGGCGGTGACAGACAAGTTCCGTACACCACTGCAGCTGCAGCCAGGCCGATGAGCAATATCACACCCGATACGGCAATACGCAACGCACACGTGCAAACCACCCGAAACGAAAACAATAATGCTTCCCGGTCGGCACTGGGATGCTCCCAGGACCCTCACCCAACAGCTGACTGGGCTCTCGGTGCGTTTGCCCCGTGTAGGGCCTCCCACAGCTGTGCACGGCCGGTGTCCCGGATGGCGCGACCGCCAGGACAGCACATAAGGCGCGTGCACGACTCGATGGTGGCCTGCGCGAGTCCGTCGGGTCGCCGCAGCTGCCGGTTGGCGAGTTTTGAGTCTCGACTCCTGAGTCAGTTGCTGAGTCACCGCGACTGTAGTCTGGTGAGTTTTGACTCCAGAGTTCATCTCTGAGTCATTGCGGCTGCCGTCTGGTGAGTCTCCACTCCCAGTCCATCGTCCGACGGCCGCACCGTCACCGCGACGGTCGGCGTGCCGGCTACGTCGGCCGCGCGGCCGGCGACTCCGCCCTTCCGATCAAGGCCGTTCTACAGAGAGACGGGCCGCCGCCGGGCCGCGCACGGTCGGACTCGGCGCCGACCGGCCGGCCCAGAAGGTCGGTCACGAAACCCGCCGTCTGCAGGCGCGGGCGGCGCTCCACCAGCCCGGGTATCCGTCCATCTAAGGAGGGCGGACACCAGCGCAAATGGATAGCTGACATTCTTCTGTTCGTTATTTAATTTAGGACTACAGGGTGTTTCACTAAAAGTGTCAAAAAGTAAAAGGTCATAATGCACATAAGAACAATGTTTCTAAGGAAATTTGCATATCATTTCATCCGCAATTGTTGGACATTTGAATATATAACAACGATATCACCGTCACTCAAACCTATTCCACATATCCGCCCCTTCTTTTGATGCACCGTTTCGGCACGTATCCGGAGGTGCCTCACAGTCCGTTTTCATATTCAGCGTCCAGACTGTCGGCAAAGCCTTGAATTGTGCTCTTCAGCTCCCCAAGTGATGTGACTTGAGTCTTCCTCAGCTCTGCGAGAGCTACTGAGTCACTGACCAAAACCAGAAGTCTAGCGGTGACAGATCGGTGCTTCGCGCTGGCCGTGGGGGCGGGCGGTGAGGCAGCTGATTATTTCGCCCAGGAACTTCTGGTCCAGCCAGTTCCTGGTGGCTACAGCCGTCACAGTGGTTATTTTTGATAACTTGTAAGGCCTTGGCTGTTTCTGATGTTGAAATTAGCTTCTTGTTATCTTCAAAGGCCCTCAAAAAGACCCTGACCTTTCAAACGGTTTCCGCCGAGAGGTGGGGGCGACCCCGCCTTTTTTGGACTGGAACTGGCATCGAAGGAGCCCTTTTAAACCTCTTAAGAAGTCCTTTTAAACTTTTATAATCTGGAACGTAGCGAGGTGAGAGAGTAAAACGTTTCCTGAAAAGTCGGCATACGGTTTCAATGTTTCTGATGGCACCAAATGTAGGTGTAATTCACCCCTCCTGTTGAGGTGTAAATAGCCTGTTCTTGATCTGTATAAGGAAAAAAAACGACTAGTAACTTTGGCCTCCTGCCCTCGCTCCGTATGGGTGCAAAATACATCTTAAATGGACAAAGCATAAATGTCCAAAAATTTGCAACAAAGCCACGTGCGCAACCACGTGATTTGCATATTTTATATATCTTTAATAAGCATTTACTTTTTGACACTTTTAGTGAAACACCCTGTACACGAGTATAGCAGCCCCCGTTCACGAGCTTCAGAATTCCTTTACCGTGACGTCATCACGGCGCATGAATTTTCCTTCACCCATAGAAATGCATGCAAAGCATGGTGTGTTTCAGGCGGGCTAAGGAGAAATCTAAGGCCTACATGTGTTCAAAAGACGTACCACTAAGCCAATGGATTCTTCTCATTACGATAAATGGGGTTGAAATCGAAACATTCGGCCTATATTTATCTAAAATGGGCCGATCAAATGGTCCCTGCAACTCATAATGAAGGATTTCCTCTGCGTTAAAAATTTTGTATCAAGTGTTTTTTATCAGCGACAGGGGAAATCCTTCATAATTGCTACCAGATTACTACCATATTCCCTCGCATTTCTGTTGCGCATTGCCACACAAATAAGAGTTTTGTGAAGTTTATATCAATTTAATTGTCATATTTTGACTGATTTTGGCGATTTTCAATTATTTCAACGCAGCATGGATCAGATGGCTCTCATAGTTTGCTGAAGAATGTGGCTTTTGCTTGGTTATTTTCAAGTTATCTGTGATTTAGTGCGCCGTGATCGTAGCATTATACAAATTATAAAATTGAATCAACTTTTGAAGTGAAGTTCACATGAAAAACCAAAAGTTCAAGCATAATAATTGTTTAAACATAATGATGCAACATGTGTCTCCCAGATGGAAGTTATAATTCAATTGAAAACTGAAAATGGAAAACAGAAGATGGATCTGCGGAGTTACTGAGATCACAAGGTGCTCTTGATTGTTGGTAATTGAAGATGTTGAGAGAACTTGTGAATCTGCATACCAGTCCTGACTTGCTTGATTGTTTAAAACTATTTTAATTCTCATTATTGTGTAATGTGTAGTGACTGTGCACATTGCGCAGCACATGTGCGCAGAAATGTGCAGGTGGCTGGTAGGTGGGTTAAACTTCGGAGATGCGAATTTGGATATCAGTTATAAAATTAATGGTTATGCCTTGTAGAGTAAGCTCTGCTGTTTTTTGTAATTGTCTTTTTTATAATTGTAACCTACAATGCTGCTAGTTTCATTTTTAATAAAATGCTCGACCAGAATTTGCACTTGTTCATGCATGAATGGCTAAGCTTGGGGTGTTTATTCAACCCTGACTGCTCAAGATTTTCAAAGGCACATGACACAGCACGGCTAGATCAGCTGGTACCTACCTGTTGACTATTTTTGTTTTTGGTGGTTATGTGTTTGCTGTTTGTCTTTTGCAAGGTGGTCAATGAAATAAAATAATGCATTATTTTGGAATGTTTCCTTGACAGAAGCCAGGAGCCGGATTGATGTGTGCTGGTGAATGAGATGGTTCAAAAGCATTATCTGATGTTTTTCAATGTGCATAAGCCATAACATCCCTTTCATACGCTGAAGTTTTAATAGCTTCTCAGTCTCATTTTCATTCTCATTTTCATTCTCATTTTCAGTCTCAGTCTCATTCTCAGTCATTTTCCTGAAATATTTGGTGTAGATAAGAGATATCAGTTCCTTCTCAGAGGTACCTGCCTTCTGCTGGATGAATATTTAATTGGTTGGACGAAATGGACAGGTAGCCTTATGATAATGTAATGTGAAATCTTATTTCTATAAAACTTTGAAAATGAAGTTCTAATTATTCATATGTGCATACATTTTTGATGACTAAGAAAGTTTTCCACAAGAGTAGAAAATGTGGGAAAGTCTATCAAATGACACATTCTGAAGGCTCAATGCTGACAGAGTGCTGCCTCAAAGAATAACTGACTTGCTGGGTTACGAATATTCCTTTATTTTAAATTTTCAAATGTAATGTACAATACATTGCAGTGAAATAACAAAATAGTGCAGTAAAATAGTATTGGCGACGATCAAACAACACGTGCGCCATTGATGTCTGCAAAAATTGCTACCAGATTGCTACCAAATCCGTGACGTAGCTACGGCGCCTTTATTTCCCTAGTGAACCAACCTGAGTATAGTTCGTTTTTTTTTCAAAAGGACGCTGGCTCAAAGTGCATTATCGAAGCTCTCACGTGAGTTTTGGCAACTTCAGCGTCTGGCTAAGAATTTCTTGCCGAAAAAATGATCGATTTCAAATTGTGCTCGGTAAATACATGGAAATTGTGACTTCAAAAATGAGCATACTACGATGACGTCACTGGTGGCAGCTGGCACCCAATGTCCGTACGAAAGCATTCATTGCCAACGAATTTTGGGAAAACTTCGTTTTTTGCTCTTACCGAGGCCCGAATCGAGTAATCGATTCTTTCCATGATAGTTATGCGTTGCATTGCAATGCAAGTTCCACAGCATGACGTCACCACTGTTCTCATGTCTAGTTCCAAAACGCAGGCATGGAATTTATCGGGAATAATTCACATGTTAAAATAAGGCGACGTTCGAGTTTCTCAGGTTCAGTTTTTGCCCGTTTTGCTAGCTAAAACACGTGCTTGTTCGAAAAACATACTTGGAGCCAGCGTCCTTTTGAAATAAAACGAACTATAGTAAAGTAATCTTGCTGTACACTCGAATGAGTGGGTCCCTGAACAACAATTACATTGCAATAAGAGCACATATTTTTGGATTAGGATGGGAGTACACTTTGTCAGAGTGGCCTCGCGAAGATACGAGCATTCCGTCCAACAGCATATGTTTGTCAGAAGAATCAACAAGCAGTCGGACTCTATTATGCACCAAACACAATGAAAAACGCAGCCTTTTCCGGAGCACAGAGATCTCACAGGGCAGCACTGGTATGACCAGCAGCACTGGTAGTAGGTCTAGGGCTTCCCCATTAGATGAACAAGGGCTTCCCAAGGACCACAATCTAAGCCTTAAGGGAATAAAGAGTTGAAAACCCCCAAAACAGACTTCACATACAGACCCCAGGGCAAACCCACACCGACTACAGGCAGGATGTGCCGCAGATAAAGTTCCGCCATGAGGTCACGGTGACATCAGCACGGTAAGTGACCGGCAGAACCGAACCCGCCAGACGGCACTCCTCAGAATGGCGTGACGCCGACACGGGTGGTCTCATCGGCTGCCCAATGGTGGGGCGGGTACTCGTGATAATTGATATTGTCAACGCCTGCTGATCATGTGAAGCGAT